GGCGGTATCCGCATCTGTATTGAGAAACGTGTCAAAGTCAAAATTCTCCAAGATATCCGGGTTTTCCAGAGCGCTGAAATCAAGATTGAAGGCGGATGCCTATAGACTCGGTTAGTGAGACATTAGGGAATAAAACCATTCATAACAACGTACATCTGGGATACTCAGGTCATTAAATGGTTGTTGACTTTGATCCGGTGGTGGTGGCGGCGGTGGTTGTACAAGAGGTTGGGGTGCAGGCGCAGACGTTGGCTGCTGTGGAGCACTCGTCGTAGCATTTGAGCCGGTCTTGTTGAACGAATTGGGGTGTTGGGGCGTAATCGGTGTCGACGGTGTAGGAGTCGGAGGATGCTCTGCTTCGGAGGAGGGAGTGGCGGCAGTGTTTGCGGCAGTTGCGGCAGCGGCTGCCTTCTTTTGAGGCCGCTAGAAATATAATAAGACACGGCGCAAAAAACTTCATCATGAAAGGAGAATCCATATATCTCTTACCTTGCGGTTATCTTTGGTCTCTTTTTTCTTCGGGGCGGGCTTATTGGCTTGCTGTGGCGTAGGTGGAGCGGGTGCTGTTTGAGGGGACGGGGGCTGCGTGCGACCGGCATTAGCACCCGCCACGGGCGGAGCCTGAGGGGGAGGCATTGTGTTGCGCTCTTGGGGCGTTCCGGTTGTTTGGGTCGCAGGGGACTGTTGCGGCGCCATCGGTTGGCCCTGACCACCTTGCTGCGGCGGCCAGCCTCCGCTCGACACCCGGTTTCCAGCACCCGCAGGGATAGGCTGACCCATTTGAGGGCCACTGAAAGCGGGATTCGAGCTTGGAGGTCGCATTCCGTTGGGTCCTGTCAGACCATCTTGCATGCCTTTCATGAAGAACGCGCCGCCCATCTCAGGTGGCATCTGGCCACCGTTAAAATTCATTGACGCAGGCGATCCACGACCCTGGGCCATTGCGTCACCGCCACTGGGGGAGCCAGGGAGCCCTGTCTGGGGCATCTTCGGAGTGCCTCGTTTCATTTGATCGTTCGGGTTGGGGGATGTGCCCGCCCTGCTGCCTTGGGGAGAGGTGCCTGGTGGCAAAGCCTGCTGCTGCCCAGGCATTGGGGGCTGGCCGTCAGGACGGGCCATGCTATCCTGCTCTTGACGAGCCATCATCAAGCGCCGCTTATTCTGTTGTTCAAGCAACATAAGCTGCATTTGATAATCCTGGAGAGCATGATTCCCATGCTGACCGCCAGGTGTCTGCAAGCCAGCCCGAACCTGGGCCATTTGACCATTCGGTGGATAGTAATCGCCGTTCATCGGGTACATACCCTGGCCATCTGGCAATGGCACCAGGTCCGTCTGATTTGGCATGACACCGGGATTTATCAAACCACCATTCGGCATGCCCTGGTTATTCATTGCTGAGCGAGAGTGGTGAAGAGCTAAATTTTGAGCATATACCTGGATTGACTTCTGCTGCGCAGCAGGGCCCGACTGCTGGAAAGCCTGGAATTGGGCCGGATTCATCGGCCGTGGGTTGAGACCATTTTGCATTAAAAGCGCTTGCGGATTCGGCTGACCGGGCATGCCCTGTCCTTGACCCCGTCCATTGGGGGCTAGTTGCTGTCCGTTCATGTGTCCACTTTCGAGACGGGGCCGTTTCGATGGCGACGGGGCGTTCTCTGCGGACGATGGGGACTGGGGGCGATGGCCGTTCATATCTATATCCGAGTGTTCTCTCTGCATCTGTTGGATCATCTGCACTTGCTGTGTTTTTTGGAGCTGAGCAAGCTGCTGTTGGGAGCTGTTGAGTTAAATCAGCACTACATCACTTGCTATTGTTAGGAGCGAGCATTGGATTCCAAGGAAAGCGTACAGGCCTGAGGTATTGTTTTGTAAAACAGTCTTCTGAAGGTTGGGTGCAACAGATCCATTTCGGCGAAGGTTGAGCTGCTGCATCTGGGCGGGCATCATTGGCTGTTGTCGTAGTAATTGGTTTTGCTGTTGTTCTCGGAAGCGCAACATGTTCTATACAGATTAGAAGAAACTCAGATCTTCGGCAGACAGTGTAAGGGTCTGTACCTGAGTATGTTGGAGGTACTGTCTCACATCATTGCTGTTCCCTTTCTTGCGCTGGGCCCAGAAGAAATCCCAAAAGAGACTGAACCAATCCAAGAGGAAAGACGATTGCTGGCCTTCGCTAGGAAGATTTGGCCGTGGCAGGTCATCAGGTATTTTAATTTTGTCACCATCCTTGCCATCTGTCATCATCGTATCACCATCGACACCGTTCACCTCGCCATCGCGACGGTGGCCTGGGCTTGACTTTATAGGCGGCTCAGTGCTCATTTTGATCGACTCGTCATTCACAAAGGCCCTAGCACACTCGTGATGGCCGCGCTTCAACAAATAATCATAGATATAGGTATTGAGGTTGTTAATCATCAACTCGGGGATATTGTTCACATTTCCATCGTTACGAGGAACAGTCGAACCATTATTGATCATGGGGACCCCTCCCACGGGGCCCCCGGCCCCGGGGTTCATCCCAGCTACATTCATCTGATTCATGGTGGCACTCCAAGGGGCTCAGCCACCCTCACCTATTTCTTGTCGTCGATCAAAGGCGTCGGCGATAGATGGGTTTAACGCGCATCCACCGTCTCGCGGCGCGGAGGCTCACCACAAGATAAGGCGAGGGGCGCGAGGCGATCAAGACGAGTGAATGAAAAAGGGAAGACAATCAGACGAGATGACCGATGCTTCCAACCAGAGGAGTACCGAATTCGGAATTAGATACCGATGCGCAATGGGCCAGAAAGCGACACTGGGGTCAAGATTTGGACAAGAGCGCGCCCAAACAACTTTCTGAATCAACAAAGCGTCGAGTATGGTTCCACTTATTGAATGACAACAGAGAACAAGAAGGTGTTGTGAAGGTTACCCACAAGGGAAAATAAGCGTGGCCCGCTCAGGAGCAAAGGCAAACAAGAAGAATCTGCCGTTACTTCCAAGTGCGGGTAGAAGCACTAGACCACGCTGATTGTAGAATATGGAGGACGTAATGAATGGTCATGAAGATATTAACGAGGAAGTATATCGTTGGTCAAGATATCCAGCCGAGAGAAAAATGCGCGGTAGGATCAACCGGGGGGCGGCGACAAGCAGAAAGACGGGAACGGCGTCGAGAGGACAAGCCAGTCCAAGTCCGACCAGCCAGACTAAGAGAGAATAAACAGAAGATTACCAGACGATGAAAAATTAAAGATCTCAAATCCCCCTGTAGAAAAAGGAAAGAGGAGACACGGACAGTTCCGGTCAGATTAGAGGAAGTAATGGTGGAGGGGGGGGGTGGGAGGGATGAGAGGCAAAGGTCAGGACAAGGTGTAGCGGTGGATCTGAGGTGTTCTGGTGGGTGGGAGGACGTGGATATCAGGCGCGGTGCCTGGAGTGCTGGGCTGTTCAATCACTGCCGGCTGGGCGTGAATCGCTTGTTCGGCGCGGATTATCTATCCCGGAACACGGCGGGAGGGCTGGGAGATGCTATTGTCTCGCGTATTTCTGAGCATGCAATTCTACTTACGGAGGCGGCGAAAAAAAAAAGTGATAGAAACGGCAAAAGGAAAATTAATTACATACCACTATGCAAAGGGTAGCCTGAAGATAAACGCAAAGGTATAGGGAATGAAAATCAAAGCAATGACTCTAGTTAAAAATTCCCTGCAGATCTGCAGGAATGTGATGGGTACAAGGGTTTAAAGATTATGGCGTAAAAAAGCAGGGAAAGGAAAGAGAAAGGGAGAAAAGAAAAGAAATATGAGAGGCAAGGCAGATAGAGAGTATCTTGGTATTGATTTGAAGAACACGCGCAGAATTGTTGACCCGATCTGAGGTAGTGTACAGAGTAATTCAGAGAGTATAGAGACGAGTGGTCGGGTGGGTTACAAGATTCCACAGCGAAGTGAGAGATACACAATATAGAAGTTATTTGGAAAAAAAGACCGATAACTATCTGAAAGCATTTCCCAGAGCCATTGGTTTAAAGATAGAAAATAAAATTAAGTTACAAGAAAGAAATACTGTCGGGTTCGACGTGTAGAGATCAAAAAATTGAAGATACTGATAGGTACATACGTACATGGATTTAGAACACTCAGGGTCAGCGGGCTTGCGTACTTCCCAGCACAGTATGGACTAATATGGTATGGTGGATCACGTGGCTCACTCTGGCGGACTAGAATTTCCTGTGCAGATCTGCCCATCCCCAGACTACAAGGGAATCAGATCATGTAGTTTGGGGTTGTGGTAATATCGGTCAACCAGACCAGGTGAGCACTGGAATTGCATTAGTCTGTATGCGCCTGGGCATCACCTGTGTTTGTTTTCTATTGACTTATCTGTAAATATAAAAAGTTCAATATAGTTTGATGACTTGGCATAAAGTTCGATAAGGGCGATCATTTAGTTCTAAATATTATCAACTCTGTGTGGAAATCCTACTTAATTTCCATGTTTCATAATGGCAATGGCATTCACTCAACAATCTAACCTTTACCAATTTGTGATACACTTGTTGCCCTAATAGACAGGTCAACCCCCTGATGTACATGTCTCTGAAATTGATTACAACGTTGAACATGATGTGGCAGACCAGCACTGTCCCTTACCATGCCATTCTTGCATTTGTTGCTTGTAAGATGAAACGATGATTGGCTCTTAACGCTTCCAATTCCTTCGTTTTCCTTTTTCTTTTATTTTTTTTTGACTCGGTTAATTGGATCCCCCTTTAGAATACTGTCTGTATACAGTCCTTCATTTTTGCAATCTCCTTGACTATATCGTGTATATTTGAACCAGCAAATTTACTAGTTCGTAGTGTCCCCTAAAAATACGGGTTATTGTGTCGGCGAGTCAAATGTGATCTGTACCTCTCTTTATAAACCATACTACTAGTATCTTGATTACAAGAGCCAAACTAACAAGGTGATCAATCGTGGTTCATTGCATACTCACATGGTCTATCGTTCAACTGAATCGCCAACTTTGATAGTTACTCTAACCTCGTACTAGACTATAATCAAGATACCAATATTGTAGAGGTAATCATCAGAGCCAACGTCTGGTACAAATAGATTTACTAATGGCAAGAAATGCTATAATTTAGTAAAGAACAGAGACCGTCGAATCCCAAACACCGTTACGCCACAACCTTCTACAGCATTCTTGTTTCCATGTACTTATTACTCCTCCTCCGGTGGCATTTCATCTTCAATATATCTCACCAGAGATACCCGCATCTCTGTAGTATCGTCACCCCGCAACACATCGCTAACAAAATGCGCTTCGACCTGCATTTGAACCTAGAAAGATACGCCAGAATATGTGAGCCCAGGTGACGTGTAGACCAACGATTTAGAATATTTCGCGGCTTAGTCTACTTACCATCTCTAAAGCACCCCGCAGAACACCACACAAAATATTAGAGAACCACAACTCATCCTGTGCCCTACCATCATCTGGCAACTCAACAAAGTCGGCTAGTGGATTCTCGTCGAAGACAAGAGAAAACTGGTTATTATCACTGGTCCAGTTCGTGACGGTAGGCGAGATGTTGAGAAAGATCTTGAACCCGACCTATTCGAGCATTTGTCAGTCACATATCCTTGAGGTATATGTCTGACATATGATAGATTTAGATCATACTTTTGCGATCATGTCTGCTGTTTCCCGAAAGTTGGAACATCGGCCGACGCCTGACTTTGCCAGAAAGTCTTCGATAAGTCGCATACCAATATTGTAGCCCATCTTGTCGAGCTGTTTGTTCACCTCCTGATAGTTTGAGTCATAGTCCTGACATAGTTGTGCAACAATTGTACCATAAGTCAATGTGACTAACTCCGCATTGACTTTGTCAACCCTCGTTCTAAAAATGTTGCAACATGTTAGTCACAAACACGTTCGCGCTAGTTTTGCTGGATGCAATCGGGTAAATTATTTGACAAGTTAAAAATGGCACTCAGCTTACTGACTTCCATAGCCTACACCGTATGTTGTTAATGAGAATATCACCAATTCAATATCAACAACAATCAACTTACTCTTCACCGATCCTCGAGGCTTTTGTGGCAGACATTCTCGTTTCGGAAACTTCAATTACTTATATTCCTAGAGGACTAATGCAAAGCTTGGAAGAAGGTGTTCCGGCGTGATACGGCAAAAGGCAGGAGTTGAAAGCCCAGCAGGTATCAAAATGTTGTTGATAGATAATCCTCCCCGCCTGAGTCGGTGGATCGACGGGGTACGGGCGGAGCGCAGAGTGGACCGGCGTCTATCGCGGCTAACCTGCTGGACGTTCAGCGCTTGCGTAGAACTAGTACTGCCGGGCGGAAAAGATGAGCGTACTCCGGCCGCGACGAGGTTCCCCTAACACCAGTTTTGGAGCAGTCAATTGCTATCTTCATACAACTTGTCCTGTACAATCCAGCGCCTTTTCTCGTTACAAGTTTCTGAAAATTCTCATTGGGCCAGCAATCCCCAAGTCATTCCAGTAACATGTCTGGAGAAAAACGACCTGCCCAAGAAGCTTTTGGGTCATCTAATCAGCTCGTTGTGAAACGGAAAAAGTCCGACGCTGGTTTGGATAATGGTACTGCCGTGGTTAAAAGCTCGTCGCAGAATGGAACACTTGTGCAAGCAGTATGTGTCTCTTCATGATGACTGTACAGAAGTCGTTTTGAGAAGTCCTCTATTGACCGTGCTGGCAGGTTCCCCGCACCAGTGGGCTCGAGGCGCCGATTATGGAGCTAACAGGTAACGAATTTCGTGTTACTGAGGTGGTTCTGTATGCTTAAATAAGATATAGGTCATTCTGGTGAAATCTTTACTGTCCGGTTCGACCCTACCGCGCAGCATATTGCATCCGGTTCAATGGATAGGTCTATTTGTACGTCGCATCTTTTTAAATTGATGCCAAGCAATCGTATGACGACTAATTTTCCACGCGAGCTATAGTGCTTTGGAACACCTATGGACAATGTGAAAATTATGGTATCTTGTCAGGCCACCGAGGGGCGGTGCTTGACCTACAGTGGTCTCGCGACTCGAGAACGATCTTCTCCGCGTCAGCCGATATGACACTGGCAAGTTGGGACCTGGAAACCGGGCAAAGAATACGTCGCCACGTGGGTCACGAGGAGATAGTGAACTGTCTAGATATTAGCAGAAGGGGCCAGGAATTGTTGGTTAGTGCGAGTGATGATGGTTGTGTGGGAGTCTGGGATCCCCGGCAAAGGGATGCGATTGAATATCTGGAAACGGAACTGCCCATTACTGCAGTGGCCTTGTCGGAAGCAGGAAACGAAATTTACAGTGGCGGCATTGATAACGCGATTCACGTATGGGACCTGCGGAAAAAATCTATCACTTACTCCATGACGGGGCACATGGATACTATCACCTCATTGGAGATTTCGCCAGACTCGCAGACCCTTCTCTCTAATTCTCATGATTCGACTGTACGCACATGGGATATCCGACCATTTGCGCCAACAAATCGACTTATCAAGATGTATGACGGCGCTCCTATCGGGCTAGAGAAGAACCTCGTTCGTGCAAGCTGGGACCCGAAGGGCGAAAGGATTGCCGCGGGAAGTGGTGACAGGAGCGTGGTTGTCTGGGATTTCAAAACCGGAAAGCTTCTTTACAAGCTTCCCGGGCATAAGGGTACAGTCAATGATGTACGATTTTCGCCGAACAGTGAACCCATCAGTAAGTCTTCTTCCGTGGTCTTAGCTGGCTGCCATTCTAATTGTTCTTACAGTTGTTTCTGGCTCATCTGATCGGACCCTAATGCTCGGAGAACTTGGCAAGTGAGGATACACGGATTCCAGGTTATTATGCATCAACGTAATGTCCAGCACGTACTTCAGGACACGATTTCATTTTTGGACAGAGATCAACGTCAGACTCAATGTCTTGTGCGGTACCATGAAGGTCGCTTGACTCGACTAAAGACGGCCTACGCATAGTACTACAGCAAAGATGTGCATCGCTGCAACAAGATCAAGTGAAAACACGAATGATATGATTTATACCGCACATGTGAGATGGCATTACCGAGCAGAGGGTCTCCAAAACTACTCAGAGATCTAGTAATGACCATGGTTTGAAGGATTGGAGTAATGGCCGTGTACCAGATTTCGTTCCGTCAATCATGCCATGAAGTGTAACAACTGACAAGTATAAGTGTCGAACGGGCGGCAGTCCACTAAGGCATCAGATTTACAATTTCATAATAAATATTTTGATATTCTTTGTTTAGTTTTTTTTATTTACCCTAAAAGTCTTGGTTGTCTTTTAAGCAAGTGGCTTTTGATGCGCGACTGCGGCTTAGTACCTCCATAGGGTTTGAATACGTGCTAAAGTGAGGTACAAGCTACTAAGTACTATTAGGCTAGGCAAGGATGTACCAAAGACCATCGGAAGCTTTCCCAATGCTGATTGGCTCTTTGGATGGTTTTAGAGGCTTGTTTCAAATCTAGCTCCATAAGCGAAACATTCGCCTGTATCGTTTGCGGCCCGAAATCTACGGAGTATACATGATTTTGGCATCAGGGACAGGGAAAGGGGACAGTTGTATACGAATGCCAGTCACTCACGATATTCCGATCTGGACTATTCACAGTGTTTTTCTCTCTTGCACAATATATTGTGGTGAATAAGATCAACCCATGTCAAAGTATCTACATCGGACTAGGCCTGGGAAACGTGGGTCGTCCAGGGGTTCGCTCTAGTTATGGCCACTAGTCTTCTGGGTTTACTGCAATCCTTACTCCGTACTCCCTCAGTCTGAGATCCAATGTCACAGGCCTTTGGGGCTCTGTGCTTCCTTCCTTCTCCCTCCCTGGGTCCCCGTCCCTTTTTATTTTTTCCCTCTAACTACTTGAATCTCTCATACAGACCATTACTATTACCTTCACTGGCATCTCCCTTCTATCTTGCTGTAATTCATTCTCATTTCTCGGCCATATTAGATCCACTTCTGGTAGCCTGGTGCTGCCCCTGACCTTTCGTTTACTTTTCTTCTCCCTGGCTCAAGTCACTTTACCAGCTCTGGAATATTGTTCCGTTTACTTTCCCTTTTATATAATCTAAACTTCGCTCTATACTATCTCTAGCGGGATTACAGATGCGAGTCCCATCTACCTCCGCGGCGTCTCCTTAAGCCCTCATTATGGACATTTAGTGGCCAAGGCCCTTGTTATTAGCGCAGTCAAACGCTCACTGCGGCAAATCTACCGCTGTTGCATGCGTTGTGAGCTTTATCGTTTTGAGGGATTTGTTGCCGCATATCTGAACGCTTTCGCTTTCACCATTTTTGTGTGCCATTTCCCCGAAAGCGGAATTAGCTTGTAGCTCATACCGATAAAAGGACAGCAGCGTTCAGTATAGGACGATCTAACAAAGTGCTGACATCAAAACTGTCCGGCGGGTGAAGTTTGCTGGTCGTTACTTTTGTTCGCCATCAGCGCAAATGTGATTCCAGTGACAAGTTATTCATCATGGGATCAGTCCTGTTACCTCAAACAGAATCGCCAAATTCGTATCAGTCGACCTCTCGGGAATTACTTGGTCCATCTTCAGACTTCGGCTACATTGAAAATAACTATGTTAGAAGCTCCCCAGGCTTCCAGGGTAGTCGTGTGCCGTCCGCATCAATGAGACGTGGAGAATATATACCCAATGGACAACGAACTCCTGCTAATAGCGCCGGGCATCAGGGCTATCGCATATCTTCAGCGCCTACTTCACCGCATCAGTTCGCTATAAGCTTGCCGCAATCATCATATGCACCAAGGGAAACTTATTACAGAATCAACGCGCGACCTAGGCCAGAGCAGACCGATTTTGCCGACAGGAACCAGTCGTACATTAGGTCGGAACAGGGAACTCAGGACAATGTTCATGCGCAAAGAGACGTCGGTAGCTCCAATCGTCGCTTACGATCGTTTACCACGAGACTAAAAGAAAAGAATACGAGACGACAGCTTACCACACTTGCCATATCTGCTATTTTCCTAATCCTAGCCCTTTCTCTTTGTAGGTTTGGGTTCGATCTAACCTTCGGCGCTAAAGACATGCTTACCGAATGATACAGTTTTTGCGTTCGCTGTCTCCAAATCGCACCTAGGCCACGAACTTCATATACTTTTGATATTTATGATTCTGATCCTTATTGTTGTCTTTTGTCACTCCCTCATCCGATTTTCAATGAAGGTTTTGCGAGGTTCCAGATCTGCTGTGGCTATGAATCGGATACCAAGCAGGGCGAGGCCAACTGGCTACGCTCAGCCAGAGTATCCCATTCATGTTACTCTCGCTGGGGACGAGGAGATTTTGACTGAAAACAATGGTGCCAGGCGGAGGAAGGTCACGCCCCCGCCTCCAGCGTATGGCCTCTGGAGAAGTAGCGTTGTAAGTGATATATTAAGACACTCTTCGACTGTCCTCTCACAAACCTGTTTGGCTAAGTCATGCATCCCAGAGAATTAATCCAGACTTACTATATTGGCACCGTGTAGCCAGCAATGCCCCCTCTTTGCCGCAACATGCAAACGAGGCACAAGGTTTGGGCGGCAAGACCCCATTACCACGGCCCCCCAGCTACACTTCTGACAATGGTATCGATTATGTGATTGAAGCACAACCCCGATCGCTTACCCAAGGCCCTTCTGCTGAATGACTAGGACGTCAATGATAGTCTTTATGTGGAGCTAGTCGCCACCTCATCTGATGTCGTTCATTCTTTACGTTTCTACAAGAACCAATTTCTTTGCCCGCCACATCATCACCATATGCATATTAGCTATCATTTTGTTAAGATATATCGGGAGGTTCGTTGGGTGTTACAATATTTGTCTTGAGCGGGAGTTATCAGGGCAGAAAAGTAATTAACCATACATAGCAGTGCTGGTCAGTCTATAGTCATCATGTTCATCTTCTTATATGTTCTTTTATCGCGTTGGACGTCCCTCATTTCCTAATTTTATATCTATTTCACTCTTTATACTGTAAAATATGAATGAATGTAAATATTTCGTGCTCCGTATTGAAGATTTGTGAATATCCGACAGAAAAATTTGTGGGCTGCAGCAGACATACATTGGACTATTAGCATATCTGGCGGTTCGGAACTGGCGAGCTGGATTTCTCACGTGCACGATCGCTACCACCATCACTTAAGCAACCATTATACCTCAGGAAACTCCAAAAAGGACTAATTTCTCCGCCAGTGAAACCTCGCCTGTAACGGCTTACAATTGCGCTCCCATGCCACCTGAGGCAGTTTTATTGCTGCCGTAATGCGGTCGGGATGTTGGTACTTACAGATGCCCTTCCTCCGTGCAGAATGGGTGATGAATTGGGTCTTGTTTCTCTCGCTATGGCTTGCCATGGCTTGGGGTATGAGGACAGATCAGCTTAATGAACTCAGGTAAGCGCTTCTTATTAATGTTGTTGTTGCTGTTGCTGTTGTAGTTGGTATAGTTGGTATTCAATTCATGACTGACATGGATTCGCATTCTAGAAAGGACACTGAGCATATGTTCTACCACGGTTTTGACAATTACATTACGCATGCCTTTCCTGAAGATGAACTACGCCCTCTATCCTGCCGTCCGCTAGTTCGCGACCGAGATACCCTTGCGAATGCAGGATTGAACGACGTTCTAGGGAATTACTCTTTGACCTTGATCGACAGTCTATCTTCACTAGCGATACTGTCATCGAGCCCAGACGATGGTGCAAGAGCTTGGGCACATTTCCAGGATGGTGTGAGGGACTTTGTGAAGCTGTACGGTGATGGCTCAGATGGTCCTGCTGGCCAGGGCGAAAGGAGCCGCGGGTTTGACATAGACAGTAAAGTTCAGGTCTTCGAGACAGTCATTCGGGGACTAGGTACGGAGTTCTATTCTACAATAGCTAATTTAAATCTGACATCGGAGCCTTATAGGCGGACTACTTAGCGCTCATTTGTTTTCTGTGGGCGATCTTCCCATTACGATATACAGCCCTCCTGAAGCCGAGGTCACATTCGCTAAAGCTTGGGATAAGACTCCGTTCCCCATAAATAGGCACGGAATCAAATGGGAGAATGGATTCGTTTACAATGGCCAGCTTTTGCGACTTGCTGTTGACCTGGCGAATCGTCTGTTGCCGGCCTTCTATACTGAGACTGGTCTTCCTTATCCCCGGGTCAATCTTCGATATGGAGTCCGACGGCACCCATTCTATGCAAACTCGCCGCTAAATGCCGCCTTCTCATGCGACAATACTAACGACCACGAGAATTGCGAGCCTCGTCGCATTCCTTTGGTGGAAACGACGGAGACATGCAGCGCAGGCGCTGGCAGCTTAGTCTTGGAGTTTACTGTGTTGAGCCGGCTTACTGGAGATGGCCGGTATGAGGAGTTAGGTAAAAGAGCATTTTGGGCGGTTTGGACGAGAAGAAGTGATATTGGGTTAGTTGGGGCAGGTATCGATGCAGAATCGGGTAAATGGGTTCACCCTTACACAGGAGTAAGTTTTCGAAAACTCAAAGTTAATGATACGGAGCTAAGATTTCATGAACCTCAGATCGGTGCAGGTATTGACAGCTTCTTTGAATATGCTTTCAAATCGTATATCCTGCTGTCGTCGGGGGAACGGTTTCCTCGCGATCTCAATAGCTCGTGGCATGCCTTAGACAATGATTTTCCAAACCTGAGCGAGTACGAGAATTCTGCAGAGGCCTTTTTGCAAGCCTGGCAAGAATCACACGCTTCAGTCAAGCGTCATTTGTATCGCGGAGAAGGCTATCAGCACCCACATTTGATTCAAGGAGATATTTTCACTGGCGCCACGCGGGCGTTTTGGATCGATAGCCTGAGCGCGTTTTACCCAGGTCTCCTGAGCTTGGCAGGAGAGTTAGATGAGGCAGTGGGAATCCATCTTCTCACAACGGCTATTTGGACCCGGTTTTCAGGTCTCCCTGAAAGATGGAATGTCGCGACGGGGGATATAGAGGGGGGCCTGGCATGGTACAGTGGCCGGCCAGAATTTGCTGAATCAACATTTTATCTCTATCAAGCCACCAAGGACCCTTGGTACTTACATGTTGGCGAGATGGTACTTCGTGATCTTAAAAGACGGTGCTGGACAAAATGTGGCTGGGCTGGCCTTCAAGACGTTCGCAGTGGTGAGCTCAGTGACAGAATGGAGAGCTTCTTCCTAGGCGAGACGGCTAAATATCTGTATTTGCTCTTTGATCCTTCGCATCCTCTGAACACCATCGACCTGCCGTTTGTGTTTTCCACAGAGGGCCATCCACTCATCATACCCAAGAGTACAACAACTGCCCAGCAGCCCCGCAAGACACAATTATCAGTCAGCAAGCAGACCAATATTGCTGTTTGTCCGATAGCGCCAGTGCCTCCTCTTTTTGGACTCTCATCAACCGCTGCTCGTCCTGACGTTTTTCATGCTGCCAACTTGGCTCGGCTACATTTGATGCCTAGCAGAGGGCCACCGGAGGGACCTATTCTAGACTATGTGAAGGGCCGCCCAAGTGTGACAATGTCTGATTTGTCTTCACCGACAAATTACACATTCTTCCCTTGGACTTTGCCAGCCGAATTGGTACCGTTCAATGCAACGAGCTCGCCAATGACAATTCGCCCCTCACTTGACATTTCATTCCCATCACTTCCTGGCATGTTCTTGGGATCCGGCTCCTTAGAGCGAGTCCAAGATGGCATTCTCATCAAGGCCATCGGAGGGCTCCGGTTGAGCATGGTTCAAGATGTTCCCTCTCAGGATGAGGCTGGTACGAAAAATGCAGAGTTTCGGGTACAGGTGATTAACAATGTGCCACTTGGGAAGGATGAGAAGGTATATATCTCACGGGAGATCACATTCGATGTCCTGGATCCCACTGATCCGAATTTCACTCGCGTGCGCGACTCCGCAATGATTGACATCGTCATTGACGTTATCCCAGAGAACCTCCGCCGAAGGAACTATTCAGACGATCCTCAGGGATCGACTGCTGAGCATAGCTCAAAGCATATCATCGGCGAGTCCTCCGCTGGCGACAAACTTGGAGCCGTAGATCCGTCTGCGTCGAGTGTAAAGAGTGCTTTTTCATCCTTTGTCAATCATGTGTCCTGGTTACTCTGGGACGAGTCGCAACCCCAGTCGGCCTGGCCGTCTGCGGAGAAAAATTCTTTTCTACGACTAACGTTACCCGCTGCTATGGCTTCTGGCTTAGGCTCTGCGCCCATGCCGGATGTAGAAGATTCCTCTACATTTTCTGTGAAAGGAGATCTCCCTAAAAGTCGTCTCCCATGGTCTACGATCTACTTCGCTGATGAGCTCTGTGACCATCGGATCCTACGTGACATCGCACAAAGTCACCAAGTGCTTGTCATCAAGCGAGGCGGTTGCAGTTTCTCGCAAAAGCTGCGGAGTATCGCTGCATATCCACCCTCACGACATGCACTAAGGCTCGTCATTGTTGTCTCCTACGACGAGGAGCCAATCGACCAGGATCCAGAATCCCAAGTTAATCCTTTCTCGGGCCTAGCTGCCGTCCGCGCGGAGCCATATCTTGTTCGGCCATACCTTGACGAAGCTCAAATGACCGCCGGAGGGTTGCCTCGTCGCCATCTAATCAGCCTAGTCATGGTCGGTGGCGGAGAAGAAACATACGAACTACTCCGCCAGGCCACCGACGTCGGCATCAAGCGACGGTACACTGTGCGATCGCAGGGCATACCAGTTAATAACCTATATATCATCTAGATAGACACATAGTTTTGTATAGCTACTGGAACACCAGAATCTCCATACCATACGGTGAGAAAAATGTAAGGCATGAGTACATTCTTGTACTCTTCACCAGGCACAAAATTGGGGCTGGCAATGGTAAGTCGCCACTCTTTGCGCCACAGCATGTTGATTGGTGCAGTCCCTGAGTACAACTTCTTGGTTCTGCCGGGCGGCCTGGAGGTAAAACCCAACTTAGATAAAAGTCTTCCTTGCCGAGTTATGTCCGGCGTATTATATACTTGAGTCCGAATTTTTTTGAAGACCAACATTGGTTTTCAATTCCCGTAAAAGATAAAGAAAAGAAAAGAAAACTAAAGTAAGTGAAAGAAAGAAAAGAAAAAAGAAAAAAAGAACGGAGACAGCATACAGAATCTAGGCTGTCATAATATCCTCTGTTTCCCCGCGTGTAGGTCTATATCGACTGTTCAGCCAGGAACCGAAATCTGGTTCAGAAGGCGAAGTTCAAACCTTTCCACGGGAACCACGCAGCCTGAGCTCCATTTGGAAGAACCGAAGAACAAGATAAATCTATCTCCACTTGCTATCGATCGGATCGGTCCTTTGCATATTTAATACATGCTTGATTTTCCCTTGTATCGACCGTCTTTTCTATTTGACTCTCTCTTGACTCTCTCTTGACTAGATTTTTACCCTTTAATCATTTGGGGCTCTCTAAACTTAGTCATTCAAGCATAGCAGACTTTATAATATAACATACGCAACAAGCACTCAAGATGCATATTCAGGACACAACCATCGTTAAACCCCCAACATTCAATCAACCCGATATCGAACTTGACCCGACAGCTCACACAACAATCACCATCACTACCAACTCCCACCCCTCGGACAATAGTACAACGACCCCGCAACAAACCAAACCTCGCCCGCTTTACTTTGCCTACGGATCCAACCTCTCCTTCACACAGATGCGTCTCCGCTGCACATACTACCCTGATCTCTCATCTAAGCCAGTCGCCATCGCCCGCTTAGATCATTGGCGCTGGTTGATCTGCCAAGCTGGCTATGCGAATGTGATCCCACCCGCCGAGTTACGTGTTGGTCGGGAAGCAGATGATGGTGAAGACGTACCTGTTTCTGGGGACGACGATGCGGTTTATGGGGTCTTGTATGAGATGGACATCGAGGATGAGAGGTTGCTTGATGGCTACGAGGGTATTGACTGGTCGGCGCTGCCGTCGCGGGCTACGCATAAGGTTCCGGCGCATATTCGACCGACGGAACAAGGCCATGGGGACTATAATAAGTGGTATGTTCCGGCTACGGTGACTATGTGGTTGGATGAGGGACAGAAGAAACGGAGGGAGCATGGAGTTATCGAGACCTTGGTTTATGTGGATGAGGAGAGGGTGCGCGTAGGTCCCCCGAAAGACGAGTATATCCCGCGGATGAACCGTGCGATCCGCGAGGCGGAATCTTTGGGATTCCCTAAGAAGTGGGCAGATGAGGTGATGAGAAAGTCGATCCCTTTGAATTAGGCTATTGGTTTTACCTTGTATAGAAAACGTTTCGTGGTGATGTTTGCAACTAGACAAGAGTTGATGACTGAATGATTACAATGGTACAACTTATTTATATAACCACGTGCGATGTAATAAAAAGTTGCCATATTATCGCTATCCATATGCAGAGTCTATAGTATGCTCCAGCAGTAAAAGCGTGATACGAAATTAGATACGCATTCACGTTTCCCCGCATGCCCTAGAAAACAAGTGTATGATGTATATCATTGTTCCGACTTCGTCTAACCCGGTATTCCACCCGACGAGCGAAGGTCAACTCTTAAAACGAAAAACGCCGGGGGTGGAAGGGCAGGCATTGTGCTTCTTAATTTTCTTGAGACATACAGTCCTTCCAATGAGATGCAGCCCATTTCATAATCATCGCTGCATTGTAACGACCGGTCGAGAATCGAATCCGAGCGCCTGGTTGCGGGGAAGCGGATACATGCGTATTTTTCTGTTTTCTTTGGTACAACGAAGCCCGTCTACGGGCAGCACAATCATAATGATCAGGTAAAACAAGAGTCGTTGGTCGTCAATTAATGCTTTTCTTCCTGGCCAGAAAGGAGAGTATAGACCGAAGCAGGAAGCTTTTCCCGTCCCTTAAGAAACTCAAGCTCGAGAATGAAAAGGAAGCTCATGAGCTCGCCACCCATCTTCTTAATGAGTTCACCCGCTGCCCAGGCCGAACCGCCTGTTGAAATATAGTCAGTATTGCTTATTCCTGAAAAGGAAGACTGTCTATGTATAAGAAAACACACCAGTTGCAATTATATCATCCACCACGATCACCTTCTGGCCAGGTTTGATCGAATCAGCCTGCATCTGGAAGAAGTCCTGGCCGTATTCCTTCTCGTAGGCCTGGGTTTCACATGGTCCGGGCAGTTTACCCTGCTTGCGCACAGGGACAAAGCTCGCGCCAAGTCTCAAAGCGAGGCTAGGGCCGATAAGGAAGCCGCGGGCCTCGAGACCAACAATAACATCGGGCTTCTGGTCGCCGTGGTTTTGAAGGATGTGCAACTCTAGACTTCGAAGAAGGGCTTCATGCAAAGTAGGATTGGCAAAAATAGGTAAAATATCTTCGAACAGGATTCCAGGAGACGGGAAGTCGGGGAACTGGCGGAGAGCGGCGCGCAGGCTTATTTTAAGATTGGCGAGTTCGGCGGTGCGGGTGGAAGAGGAGGGGGACTGTCCGGCGACTTGGGCGGCGGCGGCATCAGGCTGTTGGGGAGAATTAAGAGTTGGTTGGGACATTATGAGAAGAAGGGAAAAAGAAAAGGGAAGAAAAGAAGGAGGAATAGAAGGCAGGAGGGTGAAGGTGGTTGAAAAGTAAAATAGTCAATTCGAAGTGATAAGCACGAGCGGGAGGGAAAAGGAAAAAAAAAAAATTGACCCCTCGAAGATCTTGCGTTGGCGTATGAACTGTGAATGCCGATGTATTTTACAGTATTACAGCGAAAAGTACTTACCCCTCTCAGCACAATCGACCAGGCATTACTGTATATATATTGAAGATGTGTTGTATGTTATGATTTCATTCCATTCCAATCAGAAAAGTAAATCTATAGATCTCTGTTTGCCCGTTTATTGCTCCCAGGCTGAGGGGCCCAATTTGTTAAAACTTAAGCCATATCTCGCGTCTTTCTGTGCTAGTTTTCGATAATACCGCAAATACACGCAGTGGAAACTAAAATATGTACCCCTCTCGATGACTTGTTTCGTTGTTAAAGGGTCTAGAATCCATCAATCAGTCACTTCACAGTGAATCAATTGATGTTGACATATTTCCAGTATTGCTACTGCTGATCTACTAATTGTTCCGAGTTTACCATGTCGTTACCCCTTCTACTCCCATTTGCCAGGACCAATGGTCTCATACTGATCCATGATATATATACAGACTACTAGTATTTCAGCCCCTCCCCATGAGCCATGATGCAAGTTTCTTGCGTTGTCTGCAAGCCTGTCTTTTCTTTTCTTTTTTTTTTCTTACGTCTCTTTTCCTTCCCCTTTCTCTCGGTGGCACTCCTCTGCAGGCAATAAAATGGAGGATAGTGAGTAGTAGTGTTGCCTAGCCTAACCGGTTCAATGAATGAAACAAAGAATTGCAGTATTTAACATGAACGGTTCAGTTCAACATGAATATAACACTAATCTTGTTATACATATCGGCGGATTACACGACACAATCCACACATGCGGTCAGGGCTATCAAGTAGTGGATTGGATCAACAAGCCACGATGGATCCCCCGGCTAGGAATGATTGGACTATCATTCCCTATCTGGTTTCCCTGCACTCCATAACCACCAATATACTTTTCTGGAAATTAGACCGAATTTCCAGTCTGCCCACCATCCGCCAGGTACTCCGTACTCCGATCCGTTGTGAGTCAAGGCGACAATAGGACTATTACGACTACTAATCATAACAGTAATCAGTATCTCTCTCTGCACGGATCCAATGCATGTCTTCAAGTGATATAATTTACTACGTAGTAGATCAAGCAAACATGGTACATGTTTAAGGAATTAATACAAACTACATCGTCATCTACTACTGCGAGAGGAACTGACGCATTACCAACAATATATCATGGCCTCATGTCAAGAGTGTTGCCACTTTGTTGTCTTATCCCTGTAATGCACCTCCTCATATGGCTGTCTCTATTTTTATATTTCGTGTGTGACAGTCCCATATCGACTATTACTAGGTTGAAATTATCATGCAACCCTCGGATTTTCCGTATCATTTTCGCAGCTGGTTCCTAGATTCACCAATACTATTGTAGTTCCCAAACTCTCCAAGCCCCCAGAAATACCTGATATCAGTGCATCCACAAATAGTATTCAAATATCCGAAGAGACCCGACAACAGACTGCTTGTATGCAATCGTCAAGATTGAAAAAATATATCTAAAGAGAACGCCCAACCATTTCTATCTTACTGAAAGCCCTTTCGGGTGTAGCTCATAGAGGTCAATGCCTGTTGTCTCCATGCTGAAACTCACTCAGCCTGCATGACGCTGTCCCTGACTGCGACACATCCATAGGCATTCCGACTAATCATAACTCAGAATTGGAGGAATACCGCTCACCTCCACAATGCAGCTCAAACTCTGCAGCCACCTGCAGCACATCGCTGCCAATGCATGCCGCTGACTACGACGCACGGATGTCCATATTTCTGCCTGGCTTTTGCCTAGGCTACGGCCCCCTTGGCATTGGCGACGAGATCAGTATTGCGTATGCAACTCGAAAAGAACCCAATTGTGTTCCTTGCAATGAGACATTATGAGTTGCGAGAATTCAAACCAAGGTAAATAATAGATAAAATTGGGGAAGAAGGGAAAGTGAAAAGAGAGAGGAAGTAAAAACGGGGACCATCAAGCAAAAAGTAAAGCCGAACGCGGGGGTCGAACCCGCAACCTTGAGATGCCGTGAGGAATAAGAGTCTCACGCTCTACCGATTGAGCTAGCCCGGCTATCTGTTGAATAGCTAGCTTGACTAAATGTAAAATAATAGGAAAAGAAAGCTTAGTGGTAAAAAAGGCTCAATTACGGCTAGCTACTACTACTTGTTTTTTATACATCAAGTTTGCGCCTACTAGACCATGCTACTGTCGTAATATCCATACTTATATGGTTCTCCTATATATATATGTACATTTGAATAGCACTGGTCTGATGGCAAGCTAGCAATCTGGCACAGGTTGCCATCAGCAATCTTTTTGGAATCAAAGTTAGTCATAGTTAGTTACTATGTTTGTAAGCATCAGCTATCACGTGGTAGATGCACGGGCCACCTCGCTTAACAATTATTCATATGTTCTCGCGCAGTGATCTTCCCGCAGTTCTTCTCCTCCTGCTGTCTTACCTCATGTATTTCAAGCTGCACTTCTGCTCAGTGCAGAAGTGCCACTTAAAGCCTAATCTATCAGATGTGCTATGTACTGTCTCGTAATCGCCATTGCTCAAAAGCACCATGTCTCCTGCACCTGTCGCTGCCTCTGGGCAGCAGGACCCCCAGCTTCAGACCCTGGCGAAAGCTTTCGAAGCTCTTCTGCTAACCACCCAGCAATTTATCTGCAAGGAGAGAATCTTGCAACAAAAGTTGGAATATGCTTATGATGAGGTAAGCACCCTTTTACTTGACTCCACAGCGCTTTCTGCCCCCTTTGCCTCAAATGATGAGAAAAATCGATTAGCTCTAGATCAGGAGTCGCATTTGCGGCGGTGACGGACAAGTCATGTATTATCTGATGAGGCATCTCAATGCCCTCTTCTCCACTTACATTAGTTGTGCTATCGCTGAAGGGTATCCTTGTGCTAACGGCCACCTTAGTATATGAAGCTCGCAGGTCGACTTCCCAGCGGTCTTGACCCTCATGTCAAGATTGTCTCAGAGAAGATTCGCGGTCACCCCTCCGAATACGGGAACCAAAAGCCCGTGTCTTTCAGTCCTCCCGATATAGTAAGAGCACTAGCAGAGTCTGGGAATGTAGGCAACCAGACTCTCAAACCAATAGCGGACGGAGTGGTGTGTTACAAATCTATCCTGAATTTACAGTGTGTCCCCGACCTCAACCCATGTCTTGTTGCCACTAGGGCCGGAGCTCCTGGCTCTTTAGAAAAAGACTTCACCACCAAAGGCACTCAGGGAAATCTGCACTGCCCATTCGCAAACTCTAAGAATATGCCATCTGACAATGGGATGGCTAATGGGATTGAAAATCCTTTCAAGAACCAGAATAGTGACACGTGTGGACACGAAAGTTTAGACCCCATAAAGGCTGAACGAAATGATAGACGTTCTAGTCAGACTCCTTCGATTAGGACATCGACCACTCAATGTCCTGTTGCCCGGTGCCCTATTAGATACTTAGACCAACATAGCCCGGAAGAAATTGCCGACTATGTTGAGAGACACAAACACGAAATACCCCGAAGCCATGCAATTTGTGTCCAACGTTATCAGAAGGATTCCCACAGCATGCGGCATCTAGATGCAAAGTATGGTAGTCTCATTAATATGATTCGAGGGTTATCCGTCAAACATCAAGCGTTCCTCCCGAACCGTGGTAATAGCGGCGCGCCGACATCCAGTTCCTCTGCCGAACGAGTGGAAAAATGGGCGGAAGAGGTTGGCATAAATTCGGAGATGCAGCCCTCTATCAAGGAGGATGAGACAGAGAACGACGATGGGAGGGAGGGCCGCTTTGACCGTCCGCTACGCGAGGTGCGCGTTGGTGAATCTCCAAGCAGGCCTTGGGGAATCCCTGTCCCGATGCCCTTGCCTCCTTCAGCATCGCCCCCGCTTTCGCCTCCGCCGGCGGCGGCCTTACCTGAGAAATCTAAGAAGCCGTCTGAGGAAGAACCCATTAGGGTCTCTTCCATCCCGCCCCGCGACTCTACTCAACAAGCGCCGACGACGGCGCCCAAATCTGGTCGTTGCCCTTTCGGCCATGGTGTGGCTCAAGCTGCCAATACAGCGCCGGAGACAGAGACCATTCGCGATCATGGGAAGAAGAACGGAACCATTGAAACCGCTGAGCAGGATTTTGGAGAACAACCACAAGCTCATCCTCCCCTAAATAACTCGCCGGCCAGTATCGTATTCAACGGCCCTGTGTTCTTCGGCTTTTCCCCGGAGCAGACTTCTTCTTTCTTGCAGCAATTGGGATCTCTTGTCAATAAACAGTGATATCTATGGTTCGTGCCTTGTACCTGTTGCTAGCGTTCTCTTATGTGTCTCATGTTCTAATTGTGAATAAGATGATGACGACGCCATGACTATGAGTGCATGTATCTACCACCTCATCGACCATGTGTGCATACATATGCTTAGTGTATATACCAGTGGAATTTTTTTACCTTATATATAATCCTCGTTTGAAACGCGATACCCCACTGGCCAGATCAACATATGAATATCAATTTCCACTGATGAATAGCGTTTTCACGGGAGTAACAAGTCAACTCTAATCCCGGGATACTATGTATGGACTACTCAAATCTAGAGGCAAAGCTCAGATACACTCTTTGCTGTCTGGAAGTTTCTCGATCACATCCTCTCCTTTACCAGCTCATGTGGTTCTTTGGAGAGATCAGTCAAAGCCGAACAACACTTCATATCTCTACAGAAGATGGCACCTAGTTTTTCTAGAACAATGCACCGTTCCTCCATTGCCAGGGCATTCCGAACTGCTGTCTCGCTGGTTGAGAGTTCTCTATCCAAAACCCATACACCCCCCCCTGGGTAACCAATGCGACGGAAAACTGAGAATGCTGGCTCCAGCTGGTGTAGCTCACTACACCTCCCATCGATCCATAGTCCATCCGAGAGATGTGAAGGATACCAGGAACCTCCGAATGGTCGAAGTTGCTCACAGAAGTGATTTTCTTCATCGCGATCCCAGGATCTCTCGGGTGAGTTGAAGCAGTTAATATTCAGGTATTGCAGTTCAAGGGCGCTTAGCTCGACCATCCATATACCTCCTGATGAAGGGTGGCATGCGGCTCTACCAGTACTGATATCATAGCGCGCTGTGGGCAGAGAACAATTATGGTCCGCAATTCCTATGCTGAGGACCTCGTTCAAGGAGGAAGTATGCTTGGTGGGGTAGATACGGTCGCCATGGAGGGTCTGGTACGAAATCAAAGCCAGCAACGATATAGAGGTCACAAAGATGGGTTTAATGGAGACGTGGGCCAGTGAAAGCCAGGGCTTATCCGGAGACGGACTTGTACTATCTTGACCATGTCTGCTATTTTTTTGTTCTGGGATTTGCTCCTTCTACCTGGGTAGGGCATGAGCGGTGCTCATATGAAATTAAACGAACTCTGTTCGTATATACGTTCAAGTACTTATATGTACATGTAAATCAGTGGAGATTTGTCTCGTTCGCGTTGTGGATCATTGCCAAGACCTTGTCGACGTCAAGACTGACATGCTTTATCTATCTGGCTGTGGCGGTAGTTCATCTCCATCCTCTCTCTCTTGAGGGTTTTATCCTAAACCAACCATCCTTGCAGAAGGTGGTTTCATTCGAGAAAGATAACCTATAACTCAAAAGGAGTTAAGCTCCTTCTTTGATCAAAATAACAATGGAGTATTGCATAATAGGTATGCATGCTACATACAGAGAGAGACAGATATGTCCCGATATCCATACCTACGTGTGTACCTATACATAGTTCAACTAGCAGAAGCCCATTGATACACGCCTAGTATATAAAACCCAGCCCCGATGAGAATACACTGTACGTATCTGGTAGCTTACAAGAAGGAAAAAGGAAAAGAAAAGAAACGCCCTCCGGGAACAAGATAAAAAGCCCCACCGATGTCGGGAGGGGTCGAAATAACAACAACCCCAACTCCCCAGCTCCCCGACCATCAATCACCCAAGGACACTCTTTCCCGCGGAATACTTCCACTATATCCAAATAAATAGGTTCCAACCCCTCCACACATGTTACGGATCAGTTCTTGTGTTCTTTCCGCTCGAATCGCCCGCTGTCAGCTTCTCTCTTTATCACCAATCTCTACTTTCTCTCGTACTCCCCAACCTCAATTCCCCATTCAGATCGTCAATATGTCTGGCGTGACCCCAATCTCCGCCGCTGGTGCTTGCCCTCGTGAGTCATCTCTCCTCCCCCCAATTGCCCTCGATCCATCCCGCCTTTGTAGAGGATGCCTGTTGCTATTCAATTGCCATCACCCCGACAAATCGTACAAGATTTAAGCTGACAAGTTGACTCGTTGCAGCTGCTGGCCCCTACGTAAGTCCTCCAACCAAACAGCAAATCGTCTCTATACATTCCTTCCCCTCTTCATAGTCACACCGAAACGAAGGCGTCCAACGTTGTTGACATTTCGATCATCCTACAGTCCCAAGCCATCCGTGCCAATGGCCAGATCTTCGTCTCCGGCCAGATTCCCGCTGACGCCTCTGGAAATCTTGTCACCGGAAACATTGGCGACTTGACCCAGGCTTGCTGCAACAATATCAAGGCTATTGTCGAAGCTGCCGGTTCCAGCGTCAACAGGATCGTCAAGGTCAATGTGTGTATAACCGCTCTTTCATGCTTTTCTCCCACCCCCACCCCTCTCTCTCCTTGTATCTCATCTCCCCTCCTCCGCTAGTCAACAACCGTCCCCACCACATCTCTCCCCTGTTCTCTGGCTTCAAATCACAAGCAAATTGCGGCTGACCGAGATACTCCACCAGGTATTTCTTACTGATATGGCGAACTTCGCTGAGATGAACGCTACCTATGAGAAATTTTTCACTCATAAGCCCGCTCGCAGCTGTGTTGCTGTTGCCCAGCTCCCTAAGGGTGTGCCTGTAGAGATCGAGTGCATTGCTCTCGAGTAAACCAAATCGTTTTTATCTACATGACATACAATCAAAAGGCAATCAGATGTGCTTAGTACTGAACCGGGCCCGGCTACTACTACCCTGGATGATCATTTGTTGGTAATTGGTGTCTCATTCGTTATAAGTAGGTTCTTTGTAAATACTACCTGAAGACAACAAGCGCATCGTAACTTCAAACAGACGGTGTGGGAATCATCACGCGCATGCAAACTGGCCAAGCGATGCTGGATCCTACTCTCAAAGGCAAAAAGACTCAGTGTAAAAACAATAGACGTCCTCATAGCAGTCATCGTCGCCCCAAAGTTCCCGTCATCCTTCCCCCACCAGCCATCAGGCTTTGTTTCACAATGGCATCCGCGGCGGCGGCGGCCGCGAGTCGCTCCTTCTGACGACTTCGATCGCGCAGGTAGCCAGCAGCTTCTGGCCTCATACGAAGAATTCGCAAGATCATGTCATCATTTGGTTCGGCTTGAGCTTCGCGCCATTTTTCCTCCTTCATCTTCTTCATTGTGCCAAGGTTCCGTGAGAGCATGATGCTCTTGGCTCGCCGGGCACCAGGAACGCCGAGAAATCCGCCCGGTCCTCCAGATCCAAGATGGGCCGGCGCGGATGCTCGGTTTCTATTGGCCTGCTGCCGAGATATGGTTGCTGAGGCCATTCTCTCAGAGGTGCGAATAAGATTCTCGGTGGGTTCAAAGTAAAAAAAGTTCAGAGATTGGATCTCGTGATACTTGGGTGACTTCAAGATATCAATCGAAACTCCGTTTGCTTCACCAGTCTCTTCATCGATAGCGTGGAAAAAGTTCAAGAGCAGCACGAGCCAGCGTGAGACTATATCAACCTCCTGCATCGTGAGAGGTTTCTGATGGGATGGCTTGTCAGACAAGGGAGGTACAAGCAAGCACTCAATAGTGCTAAGAACCTCTTTCCATAATCGAGCCATGACCATTTTCATGGCTTCAGATGTCAAGGTCTTGTTCATGATCGCAAAATTATCATTGAAGTAGTCGAAAAGGGGAGTCAGGGCATTCTCCACATCCGCGTTTGATGGCCCTGTGGCAGTAGCTTGCGCCTTATTTCGACTGAGAAAGTTGGAAACGCTGGAGATACTGAGACCACGCGATAGTAAGGATTTTAGGGTTCGACGCGACAAACAGTGACTGATATAAGCAGACAGCTATTGGCTGTGTTAAAGACGATACTTGTTATTAAGAGTCCAGAGCACTTACCTTTTCCGTGATTTTGCGTGTCATATCTCTTTCCGTACGTTTCAATGTGCGGAAGGCTTTGCCAAAGTAAAATTGGATGTCGTCCCGTTCCCCCTCCATGCTGACACGGAGTAGCAGTCGACCCTGTGTATCTAAATCAAGCCAATATTCCTTCGGCAAGAAATCACTGAAATGTAAAGGATCCAGTTTGATAGAAGTGCGACCGACATAATCGTGGTCGCCCACTGCATCCCAATCCCATATAGTTGCAATGATGTTCAATGGACCCTGCGTTGTTATATCAACAGAATCATCCCATCGCGGGTTGAGATTGTTGTAGATGATACGAGTTTTGGCAATGCGCTTCTGATACTCGTCTGTCAGCACCACATATGGGTCACTACCCCCATTCATATCACAGGCTTTCAAATCTTCAGCTTCTACGACCTTAATCGTGAAGACATAGGTGGTTGACCTGCGCATCTTCTGCATCTGTGGAGGAGCATGTTTGGCGATAACATCTGCACAGCCATCAACGTTTATTTCACGCTCTAGCTTGTCAAGCTGGGTAAGGGCATATTCAACATTGTTCAGTTTGACCAGTGACTATGGAATCGTCAACCATGGGAAATAAACCTGACCGGGTAATAAAAAGAGGGTTTGGAAAAGTCTAAGTTTTGTTGTTTGGGTGTGAGGGGGGGAAGGGAATTAAAGAGACTGGCATACCTCAGGAAAGAATTGGAATGGCTCAATCTTCTCTTTGCTCGCCCACGCCTCTTTGGCGATTTGCATCAGCTTTTCCTGGGCCGTTTGATTCATTGCCGCCTCTTGATCCGGTGAGAGCCTGTCCATTTCTCGTGCGAACATCTGCTCCAATGACTCGCAGTACTTTGCAAGACCATTTGAAATCGATTTGGACAATGCAGTCATGAATTTCGCGTACTGAAAATCATCATCCCACCCGAGTTGAATCATTTGCTCTACCACCTGATTGAATGAGCGGAATATGTCTATAACGGAAACGCTGTGCCGATGCTCCTCAGGAATCATATCCGTTGAGTCATCAGCTCGGACGGCAAAGGCATCTTGTCTGACAGCTTGCTCAACCCACTCTGTAATCTTCTCCTCTGTCATGTGGATCCACCGCCAGACAAATTCTTCCAGCAAATCCTCAACACGGAACGGAAAAGGAGCGCTGATTTCACGTTAGTATCGACACTTCGCATTGGTAGCGATGGGCCTACCTAGGCAGTGCCTCAATGAAGAGTTGCCGTATAGCTGTGAGTTGCTTATATAAATCAAAACCATCCTCCATTGGGATTTCCTCTCCTCTCAATTTGCCCTGTTCGACTATTCGGGCTACCATCTCATGAGCGTCTTCTGCGAATATCGGAAGCACGTTTGAAAGCAAGATCTGGTACGGATTAACCCTGCATTTTGTGAGTAGAAGACTACTATTCGTGATAATTGCATCTTACCCCATGATCTCCGGATTATTTCGGTAGCGCTTCCTAATCTTCTGGGCAAGTTTTGTTATGGCCTCACAAAGCTGAATGATATGGTCGAATTCCCAGGTCTCCTGATCCATTGGGACATACTGTCCGAGGAGGTCTTGATATTTTTCTGTTGCTTTCTGAGCGAGGCCATCCTGAACGTAACAACGAAAACGGTCGATATCCTCCAGGTCCTCTGTGTAGCTGGGATCAAGCTGAATATGATTCTCTAAAACATACATTACTGGACCAATAGGTCGAGGTTTTCCTTCGTAACAGTCCATCATAACGTCGTATAGTTCCCTCAGAAGTGCTTCATGGAGCGAGGAGAGTAACTGCTGCATCGAGAGCAAGTCGTGTACAGTCCACTTGTGTCGGTCAAAGAGAACGGTAGCTACGAAGCTACTGCGCTTTTTCTCTGACGATGGTGTCTCCTTGATATAGGTAAATGCTGAATCAAGGGTGTCAAGATCAATCTCGTTGTCTACAAATTTCGAACGGACAACCTCCAGAAACAGAACTAGCCTAGAGAAGTGGGGGATTCGCCAACGAAGGCAAACTTCGTTTAAGAACTCGGCTGACTGCTTCGAGAGGAGCTTCATAGACGGGGGTTCAGTCGTAAATTGTGTAGTTTCAATTTCGCGATCTTTCAGGTCATGGCTCAAAGTTTGAGCCAAAATATACCTATACATAGATCGGGGGTCCGGTGGTATGTATGTGTATGTGTCAGATTCATCGGATTCACTGTTGTCATCGCCCATTGATAGCGAACTGAGATCCACTGGTTGGTCGATTACATATGAAATCGGCCTGTCAGAATTCGTTTTTGACAAATCGCTAAGGGCTGCACCATTGTTATCTCCGGTATTTGCATTGAACTGTGGAAGCGCACCCCCTGGTGTGCTTTTTGCTAGTTCAGGGTTTGCTTGCACGATAGCAAGCATCATTTGGGATAGGTCAGGGCCTTCACTTTTCCTCCATATTTCATATGCCTCCTCATCCTCAAAGTCTTCTTTGGACATGGTTTTTCGAGTATTTAAACTGAGATGGGTTTGATAGGCTTTGAGGTCCTTGAGAGCTGCCTGTGCAGTCCAGACCTCCCGATGTTTATCGATATCGGACTGCACTTGAGCGGTGCTTATATCGAAAACCCTTGCGACATGTTGCACTAACGGCATATCTCTCACATCATAGCTTAGAGGTACTATAACTTCCACTGTCGACGGACCATTAGATTGCACGAGGTCCTGATCCTGGGAAAGGAGTTTATTCTCCAAGATCGATAACCGGTTTGCCAGCTCTGGTCGTTCTTTCGCCCAGTCATTATCTTTCAAAATATGGGAGATCAGGCGGACAAAGAGTGCGACATGTCTGTCAACCATAAATTTCCAGTGGTCATCATCTGGGTCCTTGCCTTTACTCAACTCCTTTGTTGCATTTGAGTAGAAAATAAGGACGAGATCTTCGGCTCGCCGATCCTTCTCCATGCGCTTCTTAAATGACTGCTCTTTAAGGGTGTTGAGAAATGCAGCAAACGTTCTGACAACCAGGGGGTCCTGATATTCCTTTCTTTTCTCTTTCTTCGTTAAGACGCCCGTCAACCTCTTCTCGAGTTCAGTTATGAAGCCATGGGGAAACCGTGTGCTCTTCGAATCCCTAACAAGAGAGAAGTCGCTCATCAGGTCGTGGAAGGAGGTTGACGAGCGCTTCGGTCGTTGGTGAGGAGCGGGTACATTCTGTACACGGCGCGAACGAGGTTGAAGGAGGTATGAGAGGTAGGCGACTCTGAGAGCAAATGTGTAGGCTGCCGTAGGGCTCACTGGACGTCGGCGGGACCCAGAAAGGTTGCGCGTGTGGCGAGAATCATTTTGGATACTATTAATCCGTCGGTTGATGCCTCGGGATTGATCAGATGCTGTCGACATGGGGCAGTTTCTCTATCCGAATGTTGCAGCGTTCGGGGAGAGGGGGCAAGGGAACGGAAAGCGGGACCATGGATAAAACAGTGAGATCGTACCACCAGCCAGCGCCAGCTGGATTGAAATAAATCGCAAAATGCTCGCTGAGCTCTTCGGGGTCACAGAATTAAGGAGGCGGGACAGATATAAGGGGGAATTGTTAGGAAAATGCCGGCGGGTAGAAAGGAAGAAAGGGGGAGTTGCTGGCGGGAGGCGCTTCTGCTTCTGCACCTGAAACAACAAGCTGCCCCAAGTAACTGACGTAGTGCTCTGTAGGGCAGACTAAGCGTAAAGCAAAAACTTCCAACTCACACTATGCAGGTTGATGCTCATGTCAGCTGCATAACATTTCCATGCTGTGAGAATTTCTAAGTCCAATTTACACTAAAGTAGTGTGCATTTTCTGCTTGCTATTGCTATCGGTGTTAAGGCAATGAGTCTATTCTTTCGATTCCGCTCGATCCATTGCCTATTTAGAGCGTTTGAAGCCTTGGACAGACAGAGTACATGGTACAGTATAATGTTCATCTGGTGGCTTCTCGACTATCACCTTCACTTATCCCTGATTCTCACCATCATGTTGAGGCAGGTTGGTTAGATATTGAGCACGCACACCCTACGTCAGCCTAAAGCCCGGGCCTGAAATGAATGTTGAGATTGTTAGGGGGTTCATGAGACCAGCAGGCCAAGCGGTGAAGAGCAGCCCTCGCACCTGAAACCATCGACTATCAGACCTTCGATTGACGCCGAAAAGAGAATTGTACTGTACTTATTTACACAACAGGGGAAAAAAAGCAAACGTCAATCAATCACCAAGAGTCCTCGCCGGATTTGCGGGCCTGATATCAAAATGTAAGTTTAACGTAAGGCAGAATGTACGCCGGAAATATAAGTTAGAGACTTACCTTAACAGCATTGGGTCCTCCAAGATCCTTCTCCAAGCCTTCCGGATATGTTCTGGGAACGCTAGGCTTGTCTGGATAGTAGAAGCTCACGAGGCCACAGAATCCAAGGAAGGTTGCAACGAACACGCCCAGGTGGAAGAAGCCCTTACGGGACGTAACATGAGTATACTGCTCAGGACTGAAAACCCCGAGGATTTCGTTTTCCTCGTGGACTGGTTCTCCAAAATTCCGTCTCTCTTGCTTGTCCCACCAGTCGCCATGAGGGTCTCTGAAGGCACGCTTAACGCGAGGAGGGTTCTGATAATTACCATTCTGTGTGTTGAAACCAAACGGAGTCAATTGGTGATATATAAAACACTATTTTTATAAGGATACCGTACCTGCAAAGGATCATCAAGCTCTGCAGCCGCAAGAATCTTGCCTTGAGAGAAAAAGGCGCGGGGGGCGTTATAACGAACGGCCACCTGGGGCAGGCGCCGGGTCAAAAACCGCTGAGACAGCATCTATTCGTTGCCATTAGTATTGAAGATTCGAGTGGAAGAATCTCGAGCATTCAGAAAGTGGTACTAACCCTTCTGCCGTAAAAACCGGAGGGTGATGGTTGGCAAAGAGAGAGATGAAAGGCTCACGACCATGAGATGAAGTGAAAGCGACGATGACGGGGTTCGGATTAATTGCAGGTTTGCGGCAAGGGCCCATATTTTATGCCTCAGGCATAAACGTAGAGAGCTTGGATCTGCGGGCGCGCTTACATACACGTCGCTCTGTAACTATCCTTCGTCACAATATGAAAAAACCACTTCTTCACCCATTCTCTCTTCCCCACCTGTTTATCCGTCCCCAGCCGCGCTACAGTGCCGATAAGTATGCGAAATTTCTTGTGGCATTTCAACTTACTGATAGCTACACGTTGATGCCAATTTTCCCTATTTCAACCGTGTCCTCGTTGGGAAAACCGGGGTCAGCTGTGAAGAGGGCCCCTGTCTCAGTGGTTACAAGACATGCAAAACGGCAGCCCGAATGGCATTTCACAACAAGATGAACGCGTGACCCCCGAATTAGGACCTGCCCCTTCCGAATCGTCTGCGTCCCAAGCATTTGTTGGTCCTGCGAACCGCGACTCGATCCTAGCAGAGGTCAAAGAAGACGAGGTCACCACCGATACTACGGAAGAACCGCCATCAAAGAAGCGGAAGCTTGCAGGATCGTCCATTTCCCGTCGCTCGAGCTCAAGGCCGGCATCACCTCCCTGGAAGAAAGCTGGCGTTGATGGACCAACATCCTTCATTCAGGATGGCAGACGCAAGTCTTCAAGAGTTAATGCGCTACCCCTCGAGTTACAACCCCCTTCAGACAAAAGACATACACGAGCAGCGCAGAAGCAGTCAGCAGGTAAAAATGCTTTGGGTGGTGGGAAGGCCGTTGCGTCGTCGCCGTCAGCGTTTATGACTCCACGCTCAGAAACAAATGGAAAGCCTGCTAGCGGCACAGCAGCAGTCAACGGATCTCCTAGAGGCCTGTCAACGAGAGGGATATCCGGAAGCCAACAACGTATCTCACAGTCTCCGGTTCTCAAGGAAACCAATGCACGGACGAGGTCTCGAAGCTCTGGTGCTTCAACAGCCTGCCTTCGAACTTCCAGCATAGCTCTTAACAGTTCTCCTGCTCTGGTGACAAGTGGAACGACTGACTTTGGAAAAGGGGCCAAAGATATTGAACATGACGATGGAGATGGGGGACTGCGAGTCCCCAGGCTGCGAATCAAAGTTAAAAGGCCATCTATCAACATCCAGCACCCTTCCCACGTTTTGAACACTCGGAAGTATGGCTCGTTCAAACAATGGCTTGAGAGTGAGGAGGGTAGGATACGAGATGACGTAGTTGTCACGCCATCGGACGCGCTCGAGGAGGCGAGGCGGAGGTGTCGAATAGCTACAGCAATCGAGCCTGGCGGTCTTCTTAGCCCAGACGTATGTTCTGCTTACTTACCAGAGCAGCAAGACGAACCATTCCCCCAATATTCGCACCAGGACCATCTTGTGGCGCATGCGTTGTATTTCAAGAAACTGCTTGACCAAGAACATAAACGCCATCGCCACATGGCAAGGCTTTTCGCTCAATGGTGTGCTGATGCGTGGAAGAAACGCAACAAGGATCCAGAGGACATACTTCGGGAACAGCAAGAGGAGATGCGTGGGAAGCGCAAAGTGTTAGCCAAGGACCTCCAGAAGATGTTCGACCTGGCTCGCGCAGACGTAGATAGGATGCGCCTGGCACGCTGGGAGGAGGAACGAAAAGCAGAAGACCAGCAAGCCTTGGACCGTGCAATAAAACAGTCCACTATGCTCTTCGAGAAAAGACGAATGGAGATCCTTGGAGAAACAGGAAGTGATGCATTAGAATCTAGCGATGAGGAAGGAGATGAAACCGACGATTCGTCCGATGATGGCTCAGATAATGAAAGCAATATGTCATCTACGGAGTCTGGAAGCGAAGATGAAAATGTTATCGATGACGATGAGGGTCTAACAGCAGACGAACTCCGGTCAAAGTACGCCAACCTTTCTTCACTCAATGATGATTCGGATCACAGGTCTCAGGCTTCCGATGATACGGCTTCGTTGAGAAATATCGATATCTCACAGGTTGGTCGTCTCGCAGATGATGTTGGGGATGCAAACTTACCTTTGGCGGAGCTGTCGCCAAAGAAAGTTCAACTCGAAGATGTCGACTCAGTGCTCATGGATGATAGCGACGAAGCGTCCACAGATATGGATGATGATATGGGCGAAAGTGAAGAGAATGAGGATTCCAATGACTCCGACTCTGATGAGGAAAGTGATGATGATGATGATGGGCCAGGGTTACTGGGATTCTTTTCTGCGAAAGACTCCCCTTTCAATACCAACGACCTTCAAGCTGATGATCAGAATTCTGATGATGACGTTGTAGGCGATGGCGCTAATGAGAAGATCGTATCCGAAGAGGAGGATCTGGAAGACCCAGATGAAGTTTCCCTGGTGCCTAATGGACCAGCGCAGTTGGACTCAACATCCTTTGATGCTGCTTATGACTTTACTATGGTCGACAACGTTCCCACTGAAATCAAGGGTACTGATGGTGAAATGACGGATGCATCTATTCTTGGTAATTCAGGTATACCGAATATCCAGGATGGATCTACCCCCACAGAGGCCCTAGGTGACATGGAGAAAGACCAGCGCGAAACTTATCAGAGTGGAGAGCCTTCTAGTGAAGCATCTCCTGGGACACTTGCTACGAAACCTTCCGAGCCGGAGTCTGTGTCATCTTACGATGCACCGGGAGAGAAACCTGCGCAGCCCAGCGGATCACCTGCTCCAGGGTTGAAGACACCAATTCCGCATCTACTCCGAGGAACCCTGCGAGAATACCAGCATTTTGGACTAGACTGGCTTGCTGGTCTATATACGAATCACATTAATGGTATCCTAGCTGATGAAATGGGTCTTGGCAAGACTATCCAGACTATCGCTCTGCTAGCACATCTGGCTGTGGAACACGAAGTATGGGGACCACACCTTGTTGTTGTGCCTACAAGCGTGATCCTTAATTGGGAAATGGAGTTCAAGAAATGGTGTCCGGGTTTCAAAATCATGACTTACTACGGTAACCAAGAGGAGCGGCGACAGAAACGTAGGGGTTGGATGGATGACACGAGCTGGAATGTTCTAATCACTTCCTATCAGTTAGTTCTGCAAGATCAGCAAGTTCTCAAAAGAAGAAATTGGCATTACATGATTCTGGATGAAGCGCATAACATCAAGAATTTTCGCTCGCAGAGGTGGCAGGCACTGCTAACGTTCAGGACACGAGCACGACTTCTACTTACTGGTACACCACTTCAAAATAATCTTACAGAACTTTGGTCGCTCCTGTTTTTCTTGATGCCGTCTGATGGCGATGAGACGGGCATTGAGGGATTTGCAGATCTCAGGAATTTCTCCGAGTGGTTTCGACGCCCGGTAGAGCAAATTCTCGAACACGGCCGAGAGACGATGGATGATGAAGCAAAGCAGGTTGTCACCAAACTTCATACTGTTCTGAGGCCTTATATATTACGCCGTCTCAAAGCGGATGTCGAGAAGCAGATGCCGGCAAAATACGAACATGTCGTTTATTGCAGGCTCTCGAAGCGGCAACGGTTTCTCTATGATGGTTTCATGTCCAGGGCACAGACTAAGGAGACTCTCGCTTCCGGGAACTATCTGTCTATCATTAATTGTCTAATGCAGCTACGGAAAGTCTGCAACCATCCAGACTTGTTTGAAACTCGGCCGATATCCACATCCTTTGCGATGTCGCGTTCTGTAGCTACCGAATTTGAGACCAAAGAACTTCTTATTCGCCGACGACTTCTCTTTGAACACCCGCTGGACAAACTTGATTTGGATTTCCTTAACTTGGTCCCTATCTCGAGGGAAGATATATCCCGAAGACTGGCTGATGACAGTACGAGGCTCATGGCTTACGGTCCTTTTAATGTGCTTCGCGAACAGCAGTATCACAGGACTAACTGGGACATGAACTTCAACGGTTCAACTATACAGTCTACCTTGGATGTATTAGAGAATGACTGTAGGAAGAGGAGGATGGCGGAATTGGAACGGTGCCTGTATTTTGAGTCGAAGCGGCACGGTCGCCGTCCCGTATACGGAAGTACTCTCATTGAGTTCCTCACGGCAGACAGCAAACAGCGGCCGACGTCCAATGGTCCGTTGCGGAAGCGGTCACTGGCAGACTGGTTGTCCAGTCGATCATCTATTCTTGCCTCGATGATCTTGTCTATCAAGGAACGCTCGCATGTAATGGATGGCTATGTCCAGCGATTTGCTTGTGTCACCCCAGCCGTTGTCGCCGCTGGAATTACCGAGGCTGCCCTGACTCCGATCGAGACCCGGCATTTAACCAAAAGTGAAAGATTCCCGCCCTATGATCCGTTTCACGAAGCTCAAATGCGGCTTTCTATCGCGTTTCCGGACAAGAGACTCCTGCAGTATGACTGCGGGAAACTACAAAGACTCGACAAATTACTCCGGGATCTTAAGGCCGGAGGCCATCGGGCGCTGATCTTTACGCAAATGACTAAAATGCTCGATATTTTAGAGCAGTTCCTCAACATTCATGGACATCGATATCTCCGATTAGACGGTACCACCAAAGTCGAGCAGCGCCAGATTCTTACAGACAGGTTCAACAACGACAGCCGCATTCTCGCCTTTATTCTGTCCAGTCGATCTGGTGGATTGGGTATCAACCTGACGGGTGCTGACACTGTGATTTTCTACGACCTCGACTGGAATCCGGCAATGGACAAACAGTGCCAAGATCGGTGTCACCGTATTGGGCAAACGCGCGATGTTCACATCTACCGTTTCGTCTCCGAATATACCATTGAATCCAACATCCTTCGCAAGGCGAACCAGAAAAGGATGCTAGATGATGTCGTCATCCAAGAGGGCGAGTTTACCACAGATTACTTTGCCAAGCTGGATGTTCGCGAGGTGATTGGTAATGAGGAGATGCTAGAGGACCAGGATGAGGCCAGCGCGGCAATGGACCGTGTTCTTGAGAACCGAGTATCCAGCAGTTCTCGCGTATTCGAACAAGCAGAAGACAAGGAAGACATCGACGCAGCAAAGAATGCTCAAAAAGAGCTGGAGCATGCAGACGACGGTGACTTTGAAGACCGAAGTGCCTCTCACGGTACTCCCGCTCAAACACCTGCCCAGACCCAGGCTGGAACCCCATTGGCCGCTGGCGATGAACTTGGAAATCCTGGACCTAGTGCGAACGAATTTGTAGATGCTGAGCCACAAACTGCTCACATCGATGACTACCTCTTACGGTTTATGGAATGGAACTTGAAGGACGAACCGCTCGTTCTGCCCCCGGATAAGGGTAAGAAGAAGTCTAAGAAAGGCAAGGAACATCGTCTTCGCAAAAGACGTCGTTAAGACGACAAAGAGATCATTATGAACACGACAATGTTTCTGATGAGGAGTATGAGGACCAAAGCGTCCAATGTAATTGTACTTGCGATTGATTGCTAAATCTTGTATATCTGACTCAGTTCTTGCTCCTTCTCGGACTCGATGGATGGCCGAGAGGCGAAGAAAGGAATACTGGCTGGAGTTTGGAAGGCGCCCGTCATGGAAGAGAAAAGATTATCATTGTCATTATGGTTATTTATCTGTAGATGTTTCCTTTCTTTTTCTCTTTTTCCATTTTTGGATTCAGTGAACAAGCGGTTAGTGGATATGATACGATATCTACGTGCACTCTGCCTGCTCGTCGCTTGCTCTTCACTTTTTCATATTTTGTCTAGGGCATGATTGGTTGAGACGCCACTAGCTAGATGTTTGGATACCAGGTGTAGGCTGTATTCATACATGATCATGAATTGTGATGATGATGCAGGGCTGCCACATCGTAAGCCTGCGGAAGGATGCGCTTGTTTCAGTAAGAATAGGGGGGTTGCATGCCATCGTTCTAAACAATGGTAAAATATGAAGGACGGGCCGAAAAGGGGTCTTCTCTAACATGGCATAGCATGAGGTCGCAGTTCACTCACTGATCTTCAAGGCTACTGCTACCACTGTATTGTTCAGGCATGCTGGGATATGTGCCCTTGTCAATCTTCATACAGCCAGGTCCTGATAAATCGCTCATACGAAGCGAAAGTTTATGCCAGCATCGTTCTGAAACAATATCCACTTGTAGAGACAGACCAGACCACCTCGAGGTTCCGAATGATTCGGATGCAGTATTACTGGGTGAAAGGGAGATGGTACTTTGGCTGAGGGAAAGAAAAAGCCTCTTTGGAAATGGCTCAGGTTCGATAATGTAGGGATTCCAATCTAATTCAATCCAAATGGGGTTCATGACATGCAAAGCAGGTTGGATAGAAAACCTGTCCATATCTGGCTGACGGGATTTCTCGCACGCAAAATTGCCGAGACGATAGAAAACCCACTGAATACGGGCATTGGTAGGTTGGAGTCTAAATCTAGTTGAACCACGGAATCAAGTTGGAGTCGATTCCAAGGAGCAGCGCTGGGAGCAACGGTTGTCTCCAATTCATGTTTCACAAAGCCCCACTGATCAGCCATCAGACGCTTGGAGGGCTGGACCTGGAGTAGCATGGAAGTAGGGGGGGAGCATCGATCACCTCCACGCAGGGCGAGGAACACCCGAACCAGGCATGAAGATCCGGGAGTAGAGAGAGCTAAGGGGAACAGCGGCCGTTTTCCTGTCCTAGAGGAAGAAGTTCGGCGGTTTCGGAGGAGTGTACAGATCCGGAGACTTTTTTTCACTAGAGCTTGAGCTTCGATAAGTTCACGATACTTATTCGGGCAATGATGGTTCACTGTCTGTGTTCTCCGTTAAGTGCTGCTTACGGCGATGGGCTTAGTGGGCTTAATTGGCACGCGAAGACTGTTAGCCCTCACGCAACTGGAACTTGCGATTGAACTCTATATCGCTGGCTAGCTGATGTGGTTGAGACTCGAGGCCTGCTGTGATCTGCAGATGCGGATCCTTCGGCCGAACTGCATACCTAGTAGAGTACAATAGACCGAACGGAAAGGAGGGGAGAGCGTACGGAGGAGTATGAACTAACGGTCAATGAGTTCATTACTATCTGGCTTGAAACGGTCGAAGGTTATGCTATTTCGGAGTCCATGCCATTGCTGCGGAAATTATTCGGCACAACCACAAGAAAAGAAAGAAAGTAAAAACAAAAGTCAATGGAAAGTTCGGGGTACCTTCTAGTACATTCAAGGTACCCTCATACAAAGGAAGGTTGACATTATTAGAATTCTAAACCGAAATTCAATCACCCACGTGGGTACCAGTAAATGGTTATCCTCATGTACTTCAGGAAGTTATTTCCTTCAAACTTAGGGGCCTCGGCGCTACTTGACCTATTGAGTATGGTCCCCGAAAGGTAAGGAGTTGAGGTTCCTTGGAAACGGTCGCGAATCACACGGGTACTATGATCCTCGGTGCCGGCTACCGATGCCGGTCACCAAGGCAAATCATCTTTTGCAGTTTCTTTTTCACCAAAAAAAGAACGGATAGTTGGTTTAATCAATTAATCCTGGGGTTACAACTAACCTGATAAGGTTGATAGATTTACCTTACAGTGTCGGTCTGTATATTGTTACACACACATACATACATACATACATACATACATACATACATACATACATACATATATGTATCCTCGTCGAAGGGCGGAGTACAGCGCAGTGCATTTGCCGCCTTCTGCGTACCCGCGATATCGTTCGCCGAGGGAAAAAAAAAAAAAAAAAAAAGCTTCTTAGATGACAATGAGAATAACAATGATATGAATTCTCTAACCGTACATAAAGGGGTGTCTTGATCAACCAAAGCCATACAAAGATCTGTTGTCTCATGTCAAACCATAGCTCATTCGGCTAGTTTCCCGAGCCAATCATCCGGGTCTAAGTAATTACATATTAGAGGTAGCACCTAGTAGTGTAACTTAAGGGAACTTTTTCTTCTATATCTGCCAATTTTGCAGCACAGGAAACTCAAAAGCGTCTATCCAATTCAGCTAGCTAATGCATAGATGCACGACGATCACCCGTCTGATAACGAGGATGATAAGCGTGCTAGTACACCTGTATAGCTGATCTGATTACTGTTATGACCCATAGTCTCGTCAATGACTATGATGAAATACTGGCTACCTACTATTCTCCAAACGCCCAATGAAGACACCTGCGGCGGAGCATGGCGCTAGGGACATTCCACGGTTCTAGCCCAACCACGGCAGGGGTTGATACTTATTACGATACGTTGCTGGAAATACTAGGTCGGTCTGGTACCGTATAGCGACTATTACAATTTTCCTGGTATCGGATGAGACCTCGCAGCACCTCCCATGTTTCACAAACAATGTTAGAGACCATGTGTACATAATAGGTACGATCAACCACATCACATTGAGGATAAAAAAGGCCTTCATGCTACAGTATTAGGCCAAGGCAATTGATCACTTTGTTGCAGATCAGGTCAGGCGTGTTTTGAGATATTGCAACGTGGGGAAGACTAGAAGGCCTCTTATCAAATCATATTGACTGACTGGAGCCGTTCCCACCTAGATAGCTGGCTTGGATTAATCCTGCAGCAAGAACTATTGAGGACCTTGGGGAAGATCAGCTAAGAGTTGTTCTACTGACGAGAGATTGATCGTCATTACTGACCCCTCTCCGACCCTCCGGATCGATTAGACATAGTTAGGGGATTCACACGACTCCACTTTAGACCAGCGGCATGTACTACGTATGTTGTTCTCCCCTTGTCTTGAGCCTTGGAGGGGTAAGTCTAGTTGCGACTTGCCCGCGTGCTATCCACTTTGGTACTTTGCAGACTCTCAACTTTGACTCTCTATCGGAGTCTATCCCTCTCCGAAGTCCCCACTTCTGTCAGGAGCTAGATAGCCTAGTCGCAGCACTATTCCTTTTCGCTTCCTGCCAGCATCATCGATGGTGCGTAGGTTCGGTGGATGAGATCATTCCATTTTGTATGGTTGCTTTTTCTTTTTTTTTCTTTGCCATTTCCTCCCACTTACTTCGGCCGCCGATATGTTGACGGTGCATAAAATCATGAAGGCTATCGGAAGTAAACCTCCGATTTTTCTAACGTAAACCTTCTTGAGGGGGAGGGGGGGAAAGAGAAAAAAAAAAGAGAATAAAGAGAAAAAGAGAAAAGGAAAGAAAACCACATGGTAGTGAGGTAATTGTTAGTTCTCAACGGTGCGCGCAGAGTTAATTTGCGCGCAGCGGTTCCTTGGTTTGTCTTCCGATCAGCCGCCGGGATTTGGTCACTTGACCTGTTCCGGGGCAGCATCGGCAAAAATAAAAAAGAGAGAGAATGGGATATTAGATTAATTCGAGCCTCAGCCCAACCAAAAACATGAATTAGTATCTTATCTACGATCATATTAGCAGGGGAGATTAAAGGATTATCATTTGCATATATATTCCTTGTATTTTATAAGCAACCATGCCTCGCAACCATTTCTCTTCTTGCTCAGATACTGCCATATTATTAAAGCAGCCTAACGCAGGGATGATCAGACAGTTCAAGCCACATGGTTTTGTTAGAACCAACAGTGAGGAGTCAAGAGCGCCCTTCTCCGCAGGTCGCTCCATCCAGAACCATTCCATCGATGATCGTCTCCAAGTGTCACCCATGGAAAGATAATGTATGGTTGAGGCGGTCAATCGACAGTCTATCGGCACAGTTAGTTTGTAACCCTATTACTCGTAGCCTGTGTCATAATTTGAATGGTTTGATTGGTAGGTCCTGAAAAGCGGTCTCTTAGGGGCAACAGACACCATAAACTTGAGTACGGAAGAACGTGGAAAGGATTCCGCGACTTAGGCATGTAGATTGACTTCGTCTTTCCTCTACGCCGTAGTCCGTATGAGCAAACTACTCGAATAGGTGCTGTAGTCTGTAATTAACCTTACTAGATAGGCTGATGAAATACGCACTAATACGGTGCCCACGTGCTGCAACTGTTCCATGTATTCCGCCATGCACTGGGCAGGTACTTTACTTGGTACCAGCACTAACCTCTATCACGAACCAACCTGGAGGATCCGCATCTATTCTTAAATAGGCAGCTCCATGACTGCGCCAAGCGCCTGGTTGGGCTTAGTCTCCCCACCATGAACATAAGATGGAGGGATCACCCCTTACTCCGTAGAGGCTTAACCGGAGTAGACTTGATCTGGCTAGTCTGTGAGGATCGCCCATTGAGCCTGGGCTTTTTCTCCCCTCTCTCGGTGGATTTCTCATCTTCCCTCATGTATTTCTTAGATTTGGGACTGACGAGGAAAAGGAGGAAGAAGAAGGAGAAGAATAATAGTATTAATATTAATAACAATAATAGTGAAGTCGTAAGGAGGAAGCAAATAAAAGGAACATCGGTTTGACATGAATAGGGGGTAGAAATATTCATTGACTGGTGTACTCGGTATGAGGTACTAGGATGGTATAACCAACATCCCGTCGGATGGAACTATTGACGGGAAGTGATCACTAGGCAGCCCAATGAGACTTAGATTCACTTCGAAGAGATGGGGCGATGCCACAATAAAAAAGGTAATTGACACATCGATCAGAAATAATGTACCTATTGACTCATTCGCATAAGAACAAGAAGTGACCGGCTGTGAAGTGGATAATGATATCTTTGTTTTTTACTTGTCGTACTGTAATAACCCAACGTCTGATCGAGACCGAATACAACATAGATACACGCATAGGCAAGTGGATGTGAGTTCGCATGTTACTCCAACCCGGAATACCTACCAAAATGATCGACAGAAAAAGCTTACTTTGGAACCCTGGAGCATGGAAAATTACTCAAGTTATTGAAATGAGTCAAGCTGATTCGGTACTCCCGGTTGATAACTCATTAATGATACTAAGGCCGAATAGATTACTGAAATACTGAATGACAGGACCCGAGGCACTGGAAGTACCACACGCAGCAACTAAAATCCCGAGTGACCGAGCTGGAAGTCCCACCAGACTAGAGAGAATGGCCCACTTGTGGGTGATGTTGTTCCCTGGGCATTGTCGTGCTGGGTAGATCTCCCTTCTCCCCGAATGAACTGCTCAATGGGCACGAGCTTCTCAATCCCATACCTCGCCTTATCCACTTCTCCTCATGGCGTGCTGCTGGTTGGAGTGGTGCATGCGCTTGTGGTGGTTCCTACTATTAAACACCCACTAGGATCTACCAGTGATACATTCGCTGCCTTGTACTTATATCTTAGATCCCCCGATCTCCTCCATTAGAGTATAACAGTTTCCTTTTTCTAATTCTGTTTTTTTCTTACCATCATTGCTCCTAGCTCGAATTCCTCGCGTACTCCCTACATTGACTACACAATCTATTGACCTTTGCTTGACACTTCCACCCCAATCCATCCTCCATAGGCTCTTTCGCCCTAGTTTGAATCAACTAGCCAACTCGCAAATAAGCTAAAACGAGCATTTGAGATGAAGAACACAATCCCATCAGACGTGTGGGAGAGGAAGAAAGCTTTGATCGCTAAGCTATATAAGGATGAAGAATGGCCTCTCAAACAAGTCATTAAGCAAATCCGGTCCGATGACTTTAACCCAAGGTGAGTTATTCTAGGCAACTGTTCTTTTGTATGGTTAATCTAATTCGCTGGCAATCGTCACTAGTGAGACTCAATTGCGGAGTCGGTTAAAGAAATGGCGTGTTACCAAACCATCTCGCCAGACTCGGAAGAAGTCTCAGGATGACCAACAGGACGTCAATGGAGATAGCAGTAGCCACGAGGCAGGGTCTCCAATGGATGAGATTCCAATTTCTCCTAAGACCCAGTTGTATTCGACACAGAAATCAGCTCCCGTATTATCCTCTTCCGAACCAGACTTCTACATGGGCGATGGAACATATGTGCATCATGATTTCCCTACTACAGGATCTTTCAACAGCCAGAATGCTTCCAATGCCTGGGCTCACGATAGGGATTCTTCCGTGGTAGTTATCTCTAACTCTAACTCCTTCGAGCCATCTTCCCATACATCGCCTCTAGCAGATGGCGTTCTACTTGACTCGGCATCCCCGATGGTCTCACCCTTTCAAAACTCTCATTATGCGGTGACCACAGGCCCATGCATGACAACTCCGACAACTGCAGCAACAGCGCCCATCAGTTGGGTCGTTCCTCAGTGGTACCCAGTACAGCTAGAGGCTAGTGCTCACCCTCCATCGATGCCATACTACACCGCCCCACCTCTGAGCCCCTCCATCGATCCAGCAATGCAGATGGTATCTCCACACCCTCCTCATCGGCTATATTCACCTCCCTCGCCAGGGTGCTCATTCTCGCATGAGCAGGTGTTCGACCCGCATGACGCGCGGAAGCCATCTCTCCGCGCCATGCCTGTCTCCTATAGTCCTGGTACCGCTGGCGGTCACTTAAGGGTCAACCAAAGGGGAGGGCAGCAGGAGAAGAAGATGTCACTTCCTGCCAAGTTATCCAACCACTCTCCGGCTGGACCAGTGACGCATTCCCCCATTTTCCCCAGCGGACATCCTGTAATGTGTGCGCCAACGTTTCCTTATTGACCAAAACACACTATATCTGTATGACTCTCTCGGCATTGACTGTCGGTCTGCTTTCATTTTTGCATTCATAACCTATACTATTCCCCCAAGACTTCTTGGGTAATGTGTTACCATGCATGGATGTTTTTTTTTTTTTTTTTTTTTTTTTTTTTTTTTTTTTTTTTTTTCCCTTAACTTTTCCCCCTCCTCTTTATGTTTGGTGGTCTTGGATTGTCTATGTGTGTATGGATCTTAAAGAGAACAAATGGTGGAATTTTTCGTTTACGGTGGTGGTACGCTGAATAATGAAGCTGCATGATCTCAGCAGGCCATGAGATCCCTGGCGCAACGGCAGGTACTACAGAATCAGAGGAGTGTTATTTGATATCCATGAGCAAAGAAGGAGTTAAGGTGTCCATCTGCATACTTGTACATTTAGCTAATCGAAATTCTCATTGTTGCTAATTCGGAATCCCGGGGTGACTGGAATTTGTTGGTCTCATCAATGCTACAACTTGGAGTCTCAATGTTTGTACCTGCATTAGACGTATATTTTCTTGATTGGTGAACACCGAAAGGTTTGTTGAGAGAATGAGGTAATGATGTACACTGTTCGAGGTCAGTTCATCTTATCCGACAACGGACCTCGGCTCATCTCAGCACGCGGGGACAGCTGCACTGTACACTTATTTCTCGCTGTAAAACAAACTTCGTTATTTCTATATTCCCATCTAAGCTCACTGCAAAATTCTTCCTTAAAGCCAGTCGCTGCCATTCCCACTCCTCTTAGAAACTTAACCCAACGTATATCACATTGTTTCAATCATCCATCAATATGCGTGCTATCCAGGTCAAAGAGTATGTCAAGGTAAGCCAGCAGTTATTTACCTGATATTATTTGATCATGTATTACAGTATTCGTTGCTGATCGAGTTTGAAAAGGGGCCTTTGGATCTACAAGTCACCACACTTCCTACCTTATCCCCATCCCCCAGTGATTACCTGATTCGGATTCACTCGGCGGGCACCAACTTCTTCGATCTCCTTCAGATACAAGGCAAATATCAACACCAGCCTCCACTCCCGTGGATCGGAGGTGCGGAGTTTGCTGGAACTGTCCTGGCCGTGCCAACATCCAAATCAGCCTCACAAGCACGTTTTAAAGTCGGCGATCGTGTCTTCGGCGCCACTCAGGGTGCCTACGCTACCCACATCCTCGCTCCTGAGCATACTTTACTCCCTGTCCCGAATGGGTGGAGTTTTGAGGACGCAGCTGGACTCTTCGTTACTGCACCTACCTCGTACGGCGGTTTAGTTCACCGAGCAAACGTGCAGCCGGGAGATTGGGTCCTCGTCCATGCGGCTGCCGGTGGTGTCGGATTAGCTGCCGTGCAGATCGCGAAGGGTAAGGGCGCGACGGTAATAGCGACGGCTGGCACAGAACGCAAAAGGCAGATTGCACTAGAGTTCGGGGCTGACCATGTTATCGACTACCGAAATACGGGCTGGCCTGAAGAAGTGAAGAAGCTGTGTGCGCAACATCGAACTGGCAATGGGAAGGCAGGAGTGGACATTGTGTATGATCCTGTGGGTATGATTGATGCCAGTTTGAAATGTGTCGCGTGGAATGCACGCCTACTAGTTATTGGATTCGCAGCGGGCAAGATCGAGAAGGTCGCGCTGAATCGGGTGCTTCTGAAAAATGTGAGCATTGTCGGGCTGCATTGGGGGCAGTATGCCAAGTTTGAGAAGGACACCGTGGGTACTGTTTGGAATGGGATCTTCGACCTTGTGGCTCAAGGCAAATTCAAAGGGACAGCTTTTAAGGATGAATGTTTTGTGGGGTTAGAGAGTGTACCCAGGGCATTGCAGGCGCTTGGAGGAAGGGAAACATGGGGCAAAGTGGTTGTTAAGGTCATTGATGAAGCAAGGAGTAAATTGTAAGGATGAATAGCTATTACTACTTGCGTTTAGTATAAAAATTTTTTGATTTTAAGCAATTTATGTACATCTAGATTATTATTATTCCTAAACGTATGGTGTACGGCTCAAGGAGTCATGCTCTCGTAGGAAATAGGACGCGAGCAACATGAACTATGAAGGCCCTGTATTTTCCTCTAGCAACTGAAAATATTCAACAGGAATTCCAGATGGATCCCTACAACCCAGCTCCAGTCAGAATCACAGCCATAAGACATGGCATGTGAAGACCGTCCTTCAATGAAGGGCCCGTGATGAGTCTGGCGATCCACTTGTCCAGATGGATTCATAGACCGCATAGACTTGAGACAGCCGGATTGTGTAGTTGCGATATACTCCTTATGGGACGACAATGTTAGTAAAGTGATTATGGAGCGTCTTGTGGGTTTTGCATTAACACTGGCTTGCGGCGAGTTTCGTCTGATAGGCTGGACAAACCGGGGACCTTGAGTTTGCAGGCTTGAAATTTATTGGCTGCCTTCCAGATCAACATTAAAGCTGGACACCAGATTGCATGCGAACGGTGCTGTGTAATGTGAAGATTTTGTTGAGTTTCAGATTTTCGGTGAATTCCCGCTCTTTGTACTCGGCTAGAGCTTAGTCACCTGAATCCACATCTGTGCATTATCACCACGTGATAGCTTGGTCGATAACAATGTTCTATTCCCCGCTATGAGTAGATCTTGTCCTAATACTGAATATGTCTGGGAATAAAGTATACAAATATTGACGAGGGTCCGCTATCGGAAAACTAAAAATGTATTTGTTGTACTCTATACTTGACTCAAGACCCTACTACTTACTTACTTGACCGGAAAACTGGTGTGGATCTATCAAATCCTTGTTTGATGCTTGCCTTCTCAAGTGGATTTGGGTTTACCTATAATAGAATTTAGTGAAGATGTTGGTGTAGCTTGTAACAGTGCTACGTACCAACTACGTAGTATGAATAACGTCGACTTGAATGGTCTCTACGTCATCGACACGGACTACCCACCCGGAGCACCAATTCATCCATGTTTCCCTGTCATCGCAAGAGCTGACCGTTTCAGCTTATATAAGCCTCTATCCTTAAATCTTTATTGTCGGTGACCATATATCACTTGGTGCAACACTTTGCATTTGCCTTGTTACATTGTCTTTGTATACCACGCACAGCGACCTGGCTATTGAGCATGCCCGTGTCGAAGCGTTTGTCCAGATTCAGCCATCACCCACGTGCAGCTTTTGGGCCGCTAGAGTGTCCCTATGAGGTAATTGCCATTGTTCTTAATACTTGGGATGGCTGGTGTACTGACTGTCGGATCACAGGGCAGGGATGTCATAACATCATGCCAGTTTAATAAAGGCTCTGCATTCAGTGAAGAAGAAAGGAACGTTTTTAAGCTGCATGGTCTCTTGCCTCCGAACATCCAAACTTTGGAAGACCAGGTCCAGCGGGCATTTCAACAATATAAGGGCCGTCCCGATGCTTTGGCGAAAAATACTTTCATGGCAAGCATGAAGGCGCAGAACGAGGTTTTATACTACAAAGTACGTTTGTGTGTGTCATCGGCTCCCCATGATAGGCCAGAATAAATGGATTAACACCCCGTCACAGTTGATACAAACTCATCTGAAAGAGATGTTTAGTGTGATATATACACCTACGGAAGGTGACGCAATTCAGAATTACTCGTGCTTATTCAGAAGACCAGAGGGCTGCTTTTTGAATATAAAAGACCAGGATAGAATTGAAGAATGTCTTTGCAATTTTGGTCGTGGCATAGATGTTGATTACATCGTCGTTAGTGATGGTGAGGAAGTAAGGAATATTCTTCTCTTCATTTCAAGGGCTACTCTCACGCCTTCAACTGCAGATACTGGGCATAGGAGATCAAGGTGTCGGATCCATATTAATCTCTGTTGCCAAGCTGGTCCTTGCAACACTATGTGCTGGAATTCACCCTTCTCGACAACTTCCTGTAGTTCTAGATTGTGGCACAGATGTATGGTCGCCATGGCAGTTCATAAGCACCGAGCTAAGTTGATGATAGAACAAAGATCTACTCAACGATGAGTTATATCTGGGCCTTCGACAGCCGCGTGCCAGAGGCGAGGAATACGATCGATTTGTGGAAAGGTTTGTGACAACCGCCAGGAAAATGTTTCCTAAAGCCTACATCCATTTGTTAGTATTGACCTTAATGCCTCATCCGCCACTTTTTCTTCTTTGTCACTCAACCCCTTTTCAGCAGTCTTTCTGCCGCTCTCTTTCTGAGCCTCTGGGAACAAACTGACATCCATTTAGCGAAGACTTTGGCCTCCATAATGCCAGCAGACTTCTAAATCAGTATCGACCACATATTCCCTGTTTCAATGATGATATTCAGGGAACAGGATGCGTGACTTTGGCGGCTTTAATGGCGGCTTTTCGTGTCGCTAATATCGAGTTAGCATATGTGCGTGTAGTTATCTTTGGCTCGGGCTCAGCTGGTACTGGAATTGCGAAACAAGTCGCCGATACCATTGCTACGGACACTTGTAGAACAAAGCAAGAAGCTTCAGCACAGATATGGTGAGTCTTTCGTAGGAGATCATACTGATGGTAGGATGGTATTATGATGGCTAACTTCAATGGAAAGGTGCCTAGATAAGCCAGGTATTCTGCTCAAGTCTTTCGGTGACCAACTTACGGCAGCTCAAGCACCATTTGCACGGAATGACAACGAGTGGCCCAAAGAGAGGGGCAGAGATTTACTTTCAGTTGTGAAGGAGGTAAAACCGCATGTCTTGATCGGCACGTCAACCAAGCCAAAGGCTTTCACAGAAAACATCATCCGGGAGATGGTGAAGCACGTTGAACATCCTATCGTCTTTCCCTTAAGCAACCCTACACGATTACATGAAGCTTCCCCGGGGGACATTAACCACTGGACGGAGGGTCGAGCTTTAATGGCCACTGGAAGTCCATCCCCTCCCGTTGAGCGTAACGGTGTAGAATACGAAGTTGGTGAGTGATATGCAGTTATAGTTCATGACAATACAAGGCTATTCTCAGTCTCTGCTAACACGAAGATTGCTGTAAATAGCGGAATGCAATAATTCAACCTGCTTTCCTGGCATCGGCCTTGGGGCAGTTTTATCCCAGACGCAGATCCTCTCTGACAAAATGTTGGTGGCAGCCGCCAGAGCATTAGCTTCTCAGTCTCCGGCGCTAAGGGATCCAAACCGGCCTCTTCTTCCAGATGTTGAGAATGTACGCGAGATTAGCGTGCATATTGCTCGAGCAGTCATTGAGACAGCAGTCGATGAAGGATATGCTCAAGAAAAAGAAATTCCCAGCCATAAGGAAGAGTTGGAGGAGTGGATCCGATTGCAGATGTGGGAGCCCATTTATAGGCCGCTTGTCAAGGCAGGACAAAAGTAAGTTCCGGTGTGAGTTTGTACCTGGTGACATGCCCTTGCTCTCACAACCATGGGGATGAGAATATTTGCACGCTGCCCAGAGATTGGACAATCAACACCAAGGGAGTACTAATAGTGCTGTGAGAACCGACTGTGTTTTTATAGTGATCAAGCTAAATCAAGACAGATATACAATTTTCGTATTGTATTATGTCTATCTATCTACCTATCTATCTACTGCACTCAGTAGGTCGGTGCAGAGGTTGATTGTTGAATAGTGGCTATGAAACCGAAGTTGAACGGTCTGAATTGCTTAAGTTTTTTATGGGCTGTGGCTGATCCAGGATCGGTTTTGGAGCTATTGATTGACATTAAGGGAAAGAACAGATGCGGACTCGGTTTGTTTCCAATACCTTAACGAAGTAGTAGTGAGACTATGTGGCTATCACCCGCACCGCCTTGTCGGCACGTAGCAGAAACCCTGCGGAGGAAAGGCAGTGTAAATCCCATATACGAGTGTGGCTTGGTTTTCGTCCAATGACCGATGGATTTATGAACTACCCATAATTTTATGGACATTAACTTTCAGGGTGAAGCCATGTCCCTTGAACGATCTCTACTTTACTACGCAATCATGATATTTTCCACTAAAAAGTGGTTCGCAAAATTATAATAGTTGCAGTCCTCGCACTCTTAAATGTTAAACTGTCCTAACGACCTCTGATATACCACATCCATTTTTTATCTTTGTTCACGAGCGGGTGGTACTACTCATTCTTGCAAACAGCTCTTCCCGCTTTATATCCAGCAGCTCGCTATAGTAGCCTACATTTATACAACCCAACAATTATCTTCCAGATCAAGAAGATCGTCAGTTTCCCGGCATCAAACAGAGGCGGGAAAAAATATGAAGGTTGCCTCCATAAGTACCATTCTCCTTCTCCCGACTGCAGCCATCAGCCTCCCACGGTCAGATCTAGCCGAGAATGTGGTTCTTGTGCCTAGATCTCATGAACTCGTATATTTAGAAAAGCGGCGTGGTGGTGGTGGTGGAGGACGAGGGGGGGGAGGCAGCGGTGGTGGGAGTGGTGGGCGAGGAGGTAGTGGCGGTTCTTCATCAAGAACAGGGTAAGTGTCCCAAACTCCTAGAGCAACACGAGCTTCTATAACCAACCCATCGTTTTTTATACAGCTCGTCTAGCAATTCCGGTGGCTCGTCTCGTAGTGGGTCAGGGCCACAGCCCACATATGGTAGAGGTATTTACTACGCCGGTGGTGCCAGCACTCCCTATACCTCTGGTGCTCTATCGCCACTAGGAATAGCACCTATCATACTGCCAGCAACTGCTTTGGCATTCTTCGGTGGTATCTGGCTGTATGGAGCTTATGCCTATCCGTATAACTACCATTATCAATATGTGGATCAGACCTCACACCATAACGCATCGATGCCGGTAGTTTGTCTATGCGAGAAGTATGCGGAATGTGCATGCGATGAAAACTCGGATAGATCGTATTATGAATCTATTTTCAACGGCACCCAACCTGCAAATTCCAGTGTCGCTAAAATTGTCGAAGTCAATGGCACTGAGACCATTTATGTCAATGGCACATTGCCTAATGGGACGACTGTTGCCGACTCATCTGCACCTTCTGGCGCTGCTCGAACAGCGGTCCAGATCAGTGGATATTGGCCAATGGTCGCCTTGGTCGCCAGTACCATTTGGGGGCTGTAATGCCACCATTGGACTCACTCATTTGGATAATATATCTAACAGCTTCCCCAAGAGTGCTTGACGGTAGTTGCCGCCTTCTTCCTCTTCATTTGGTGGATGGGGGAGGGCTTCATTCACACCTCTCCTGGTCTTATTTGTACAATTGTCATTCCGGTTCTTAAGGATTTGGGCCCTAGTGTCCGCGACTTTGCTGGGCTAGCAAAGAGTAACTGGCTTGGCTTGGCTGTGGTAACGTGTTACTTTCATAGATTTTGAGTGTTGATATTGATACCCACTCTCGGGCGTTGGATGTAGGAAACCTCGATTGTTCATAATGATACTAATATCGCATCGTTGTTACGTATGATACAAACTTATTTGATGGTATACCTGGTCTTTCCAAGCTGCCCTTTGTAAGACCCCTGTCTGGACAGCCTTGGCTCGTGATCTCACGACCCGCCGCAACAAATTTTGTTCAAAATTTATTGGAACTTCCCCACTAGACTCGTTCGGAGACAAATTGTCTCAAAGCCAGAAGTCCCGTTATCTGATGCTACCTTGTCCACATGTAAACAAAGAAGGACAAATGTATGTAAAACGCACGAGGTCAGGGAGAAAGAGACCTTCCATGATAATGAGTCTACCTGCTGCGAATAGCGCCTGGATTTAGGTTAGAGCAAGAGGAACGAACCCCTAGGTGAGTTTTGCTCTCCCGCTCATTTAGTGTTTCCATGGTTCCATTTACTGAACTAAGGGGTTAGTCAGGTACAAACAACTTAACGACAATGGATGCGCCAAGTGAAGAGATCGACATATCGCAATCAGAGTTTCCTATACGAATAGATGAATGGATGAATGGATAAATGTACTACGACGGCGCCCTGCTAGTCGACAGACCAGTTGTTTAGGTAATAAAATGACACGCTCGGAGTCTCCGGACAGTGGCCGAGTTTGGAATGTTTACCCTACCTTTCCGTTATACGGAGTAGACCCCCCGTTCCTCTTAGTCCGAACCCCTTTTCCCAAGTCGCTCCTTCATTTTAAATTCATCAAAGCAGTGCTTGCCATCCATTTAATCTTGCTTCTTCTTCACTATACACAAGGGCTGTCACTCATTTCCAGCTCCATTCACTCTTTTAGTCAAAGTACGAAGTCTCAAAAGCAACGGAATACATATATGCGACCATTTCGCACTTCTGTCGCAATTTTCCCCCACACGCGCGATTCAAAGCAAAGCCGGTCCAATTGAAATCGCATATCACGCAACGACTTGAGCCCGTTATTCCATTGCAGTCTCAAGATGCAGTTCAGCAAGGCCCTTCTCATCGTCGCCGCCGTTCTTGCGCCTTTCGCCCTCGCAGAGGATGCGCCAACCAAGACCCTCACCATCCAGGTCGTCCCTGTAACGACCTCAACTCCCGCACCGACTTCTACGGCGTCTCCCAGCTCTTCTGCTTTCTCATCCCACACTCCTTCTAGCTCTGCTAAAGCGTCTTCCACTCCGCTCTTTTCAAAGACGCCTTCCGCGACTCCTTCTGGGACCCCCTCGTCGTATATCGTCCCCCAGGCTACTGGTGGTGCCCCTGCCATTAAGCTCTCTAATGCGATGGCTGCGGGCGTTGTCGCTGCTGCTGGCTTCATAGTGCTCTAAAGGCCTTTCTGAGCAGTTTGAAGCAATGCGCATGAGCGACGATGGTCATGTCTCAGTCAGTGAGCCGATACGACTGCAGTAGCACCATCAGTATTGCTTCTGAAACCTTGGTGATTGGCGTGCCTCGAGGGCCGAGCATGGAGAAAAGATGATGCCAATAGGGAGTTGAACAGACCTAATCAAATACCAGGGCAGAATGCCTTCCGTACACCTATCTCTCATTACTCATGCGATTCTCTTGAGCAGCTTCAGCCAAAACTATAGCGGTTATACATGACGGTGTTTATCTGTTGGATCGAGTCTCCATTTATTATTTTACTGTGCTGTGATTCGAACTCTGATTGTCAACCTCGTTGATAGCTTAATTTCCTGCCACCCATTATTACGATTCCGACCTTTATACCCTTTTTCTTTCTTGATCTGGAAAACCTTATATTTGGTTTCTTTTGGTTTCGCCCCGCCACAATTCATGTTCCGAAGTAACGAGTGTAGGACTGAATGGACTGTCGACGATTGAAACTTGCCGTGTTCATGCATAACTTAATTTCGAGGTGTCGCCTCAGATTATCCTACTATAATACAATGTCCTAGGGTTTACGCATTAGTAAGGTCTAGTCGATTGCCATATAATGTTCACCGAATGAAAAACTTCTATTCGGCACAATAATAGATAACGTATAGACAATAGTACAATGATGTTATGGAAACAGCGATAAAAGCTGAATATAGGGCATAGATTGGGAACTATTGTTCCTTCAACCCTAATCAAACAACGTTGATAGAATAGCCACTAGATGTACAACGAAGACGTCAAGTACACGTACAGGCGAAAAGAACCCTTTAACCCTTGAACGTCGCCTCGTATCTGTAGTCGAGTTGGTTAGCAGACAAACATAGAAACTTGCGATTAAAGTCAAACATAGCATAAATAGTATGGAAGCGTGCTGATAAGGGATACATATGACGAACCTCTTCCCTCTAAATGCCCATAACCCCCAGTTTCCGCAGGAAACATCATGAGGATCCAAGTCATTAAGGTCCCACCTCAGACTGCGAAAGATATTTTCGCCTGGTTCCAACAAGATATCAAATTCACCGGCACATTTCTCATGGACCCAACTGATATCCCTCTCCATATCCCACTGCGTATAGCCAGTGCTGATAATGGGGACTTTTGTCTCTAGTAGTTGTGGTAGTGTTTCTTCCCATTCATGGGAGCTGGCAGGATGCCCGAGACCAGGGTGGAAGAGCATGATACAGTCTAAATATGGGTCGAACGGCTGGAAATATTGCGCTTTGTACATTGTGTGGAAGTAGTCGACGTATGTTGTAATCTTCAGTTGCCCGCCAAGTCTATCTTCCACAATCCCTCCAAAAGGGTTCTCGGGCGTCCGTTCGGGAAGTGGGAACTCAGTGTCTCGGTTGGCCATACTCTCTGGTCCAATGAAAATCAAATGGATGAGGGATCGTGGGAAGATGTAACTGAGCTGAAGCCAGACTTCACGAGGTAAAGAAGATTCGGCGCGCGCCCCCAGAATGAATACCCTAACAGGTGGGGCCTTCAAGCGCAGTCCTTGAATATCAACTCCTTCTCCAGTCTTGGGAGGGTGCAGAGTGTATCGAAGCGCTAAATTGAAAAGGTCAGATGTGGATGCATTTGCACTGATCTATGATAACTTACCGCTCACACTCTTCAGTCCCTCGACTGTAAGTCTCCCACCTTTCCGAACGCTGTAAGGGCTCAGCTCGTGCAAGACACTCCCAATGGTAAGAGGGTAGGTGAGCATCCTAGTCACTTGTCGCATACTCCGATCGTGGTTTATCGCATCAAACTCTCGCGTATACAAAAATGTGTCCCAGTTCGTCATGTTGATCACGAAGTTATCATCCTGAAGGCCCGGATAAGAGAATTCGGGGAAAAATCGACCAGAGTGGAGGTCGTGATCATCCTCATTTATCTGTCTAATGGTCTCACAAATCTCCAAATGTGCCTCAAAGTCATCCATCCAATGTCCCTCTGAGCAGTAGATTGGGACACCGCAGTCAGGGCATTCGAAGTGCGAATGGGCTGGGGGACTCGTGCTTTGCTGGTTCTTTCGCGACTCGGGGTCGTGTGGGGAGACTGGCGTACGGGTCTGTTGGTGACTCGGGTGAGGGCAAAAGGCGTTTTGTTTAATAAACGCAGCACGTTGCCGAATCGAAGGTGAAGGTGACTGAGAAAAATGATGGAACAAGTTGTTTGGCTGCAGCAAAGCACGCGTTTCTGGCGAGTAAGTAGACGTTGCGGACGTGGCCCGCTGTACACTTTGCGGAACGTTGTGTGGTACAGCAGTGGAATTACAAGGCGAAGGTGTAGCAGCCCGTTTGGTATGGCCTTGAAAATTTTTGGAGATGAAGCGACTGCCGCTTCGTGAACCAAAGCTTCGCACGAGGAAGGCCGATGGCCTGTATATCTGCCTTGAGTTATATGCCGTCTGTAATCGGATCACAGGACCATGAGCCGCAGCCCTTCGCCGGAGCACCTGTAGACAACGTCCACAGGTATATTCGCCAGTCATTGTGATGGTTGCTAGAGGGCGACGCATGTAGCAATCATCTGTTGATACGGAGAGTTGGCAATTCTTCTTTCCGAGCGACAATCCCGCAGACACGTGATCTAAGGGTCGCTGAATCCAAAGAAAAGACAAGGACACCCCAGATTCATGTTACCGAGGATGTTTGGATGGATTTCTATAACCTGATCACTAGTATCAATTACTAAGGATTATATGATTTCTGTCGAAAATGCCAGTGTAGCCCAAAAAAGTAAATTACGAAACAAGACTGGACTAATAGAGCTGTCTGTAGGATTGAAGGTCAAAACCTTGACACTTTAAACACTCGATTACGGCATAGAGCTCATCTTCAGAAGATGTCTTCACATATACTCCAGTCCTGTGCTTCTCTGGCCGCCCAATACTTCCCATTGTGCGCCCAGTACTCTTCACTAGTGATCGGGCACTTTTTCCGAATGAAGAACTTCGGCTGGTACTCTTCTCCTTTTGTCTCCCTCTCTCTTCGTTTGGCTCGTTGCTTTTCTTCGACTCGATGCTTTTCGTTAGCGGCAATGTCATATTCCCCCTCCTCCATTGCACGTTGGTCGGGTCGAAGTCGGGTATCGGTTGGGGGGAGATACTGTTTCAGACCTTCCGGAAGGGCATTCAATGTGATGACGAAAGGCGTTAAATTGAACGGGATACCACTTGGGCGGGAGTGGCTTTGCCATACCAGAAACGTCTTAGACGAGTCCGGATCCTGACTGGATACGTCCACCTCATATCCAGGAGTATGGCGAGCAAAAATCTTGTCGTTCCAACGGCCCCCAATGCTCCATTTCGGAGATCCGCCCTTGTCTACAATCTTACCAGCCACCTGATAGGCAGACGAGGCTTTCCAGCCCCTTGGCTTGAAATCAAGGTAGCAGGCCTCGCCGGTCGTCCAATTCTTGATCTCCATTAACCCATAGTTGTCAACTGTCGGGTTACCAGTAATAATGCCAATGACAGACGAGGTGACTTTTTTCCATGTGTAGAGTTCTTCGCCTCCCGAAGCAGGGCGTAACTTAAGGAACCAGGTTCCAAGAAGGTTGATATCGAAGGATTTCCCGTAGAACTTGGACTTGATGGCTGATTCGCCCTATTAGAACTCTTGTCAGTGTTGTGATGTATCAGTTTCGTCTTATGGCCTGACACTTACATAATAATCCCACTTTGGCGATTCCGCCCATGCAGCACCAATCGGTGGGTGGTGGCTGACTTGCTCAACAAAGAACCGGTAGCCTTTATCGGGCCTGACATACTCAAACGTCTCCCCCAGAAGAGGGTTGAACGGTTTGGCAACACGGCCGATTGTCGAGGCGTACTCACTCGCCGCATAGGCAGCGACATACACCATGCGTTCCATTGAATCAGATCGATCAGCAGCCACGTCAAGAAGATCCGCATACTCCAAATCTTCAGCCACACGTTGTAGCAATGACGTGGGTTCGTTGAAGGAAACCGGCAAAGTCATCTTGGTCATGTCTTTTCCAATCATCGATTTCAGAATACCCTAAGTTGATAATAATAAGTAAAACGTTGTTCGTCGCTTACTAGCTTGGCAGTGATTAGATCACCACTCACCCACAAGGAGATTTTTGGTCGATTATCATCATCCATCTTGAGTTTCGTTCTGATGGGCTCCTCATATCCTTTGAACGATGGTGCTATTTCCAGCCGTTTTATGGCCCGCAATTCGGTCCTTTCTCCCACCGATTTATCCTTTTCAGTACTTGCTTCTGTATGTGCTAAGTTCTCCACTTCAATCTCCCCGGAGTCAATCGCATCGAAGAATTCGTCCTCGCTATCAGATGCCGAATCACATAGATCACTGATCTGAGAAAGAGTCGACTTCTTACGCCGAAGGGGTCGCCCGGCTTCTTGCTCATCAGCCTGAGATAGATTGTCGGCTCCTGGAGCATGTGCCTCCATCCGCTCATCAGCCCTATCACCTTCTTCACCTGTAGATGCCATACGAGATGGCGCTTTACTGACAGCAAAACTAGTGGTTGCTGACGAGATCTCTAGGGCTTCCTTGAGGGCACGCTTCGTACGTCGGCGCTTCTCCTCAGATTCTCCCATCTTTGATTGTAACTCTTCATGTTCCTGTGCAACTCGTGCCATACTTTCTTCCCACATCTTACGGAGTTGTGCTTCCCTATTCAATCGGTACTGCCAGTAGGCATCGCGATCCCGGGATATCTTGAGGAGATTTTGTACTAGCGCCTGGAGACTACTCACAGCTGCTTCATAAGCAGCGAGTGCTTGATCAACCGCCGAGTCCGCAAGCGACAAGCCTGGGTTCCTCGACTTCTCAGTTTGTAGTGAGGACGCTACATTCGCGAGGATATCAAGTTGAAGATTTGCAGACTGTGCAGTGATGTTCAGGGCGTCTTTATCAGCCATTGGCACCTCACGGCTGGATGCATAGTCACCATAATCCTCATCATCACCCTCGCCTTCAGGCGCAGTGGTTACATGGCTGGCCACCCGATTTACCTCATTTTGCAGAACACCCTGGTCGTATGATCCTTGGAAAGAGCCTTCCTCATCTGCGGGTATGCTCTCCAGCGTTGTGCGAGACGCATGCGCGCTAAGTCTTGTCGCACTACTACCTGGAATACCTAGAGATGGGGTAGTAAGGCCCTTCCCGCTAGACTTGGTAGCAGCGAGGCAGGGTGAGTCGGATGAGCTATCAGCTGTTCGTCCCTCAATTTGTTCAATCTTGGCTTGACGGAACACCTCGGCATGCCGAGACTGGCGTCTTTCTTCCTCTTTTGCCTCATCTTTTGCCCACTGTATAGCATTATTGAGAGTCCAGAACCAACGCTTTGCCTCGACAACATGATTAGCTTTGAGATGGTATTTGACGGATGATTTGCCATGAATTTCAAATCGCGTCTTGTCTTGCGAGTCCATGTTGAGTTTAGCGATTTTCATATTAATCGCACCACGACATGCAGACCCGGCGTCATCTGATCAAAACAAGTTAGACATCAATTATGGTTGCAACCTTTGGGAAATCTCTAGCCGCTTACCTTGATGCTTATAATAGCTAAGAACGCCGTCTTCAAGCACAAACCACCGCAGTTTATAACCACTAGTGTAGTTTGTCCATTTCTTCAAGTATCCTCTCATTTCGCGAGAATCCTTTCCCGCAAAAGGTGCCTCCCCTACGCTGGCTCGGCCCGAAACGCCTTGGCCCGAATTGGCCCCAAGAATAGCCTTCTCTTGTATGCCGCGCTGAGCAATGACAGCAGCAGGAGACTTTTTGACTATTGCACGTGTCCTGTCGTCCTTTGTGACATCCTGTGGCAATTTACCCTTTTTGTCGCGGCGAAATGGATCTGCCCCATGCATCAGTAATAACTGAATGAGTTTCGTATCTTTCCTCCTGGCGCCCTCATGCAGCAGAGTGCCTCCAGACTGAACAGTAGCAGTATCAGTGACCAGGTCCAAACTATTAATATCCATGATTCCTTCAACCCGTGGCTCTTCGAGTACCTTCTCTAGCTGCTCATAGTCACCCTGGGAGATGAGTGACTGGATTTCTTGTGACTTGCTGTCAATGAAAAGGGATCGTGCAAGCTGAAGCTGTTGAAAGATCTCCGGGGTGCGGGCAACATCTAAAGCTGTTTGGCCACGGTAGTTGACAACTGAGTCATTGAGAGAAGGACGACTTAGTAGCTCACGAACTAGTGATCCTCTTCCGAGCTGGGCGGCGAGGTGGAGTGGCGTATTGCCATCCCTATCGCGCGCGTTGATATCAAGTTCATAGCCGCTGGAAAGAATGTATTCGACAACTTGTGGTTCGGCGCATTGGATCGCTAAATGGAGCATAGTCGTTCCGGAGAGACTGTTTGCTCCCTGGGGATCTTTAGTCTCTTTAATAGCTTTTGATATCGCGGTTGTATCCCCACTCCGCAGGATCTCAAAAAGTCTGAAAGTCCTTACAGACTGGTCTAACGACATGCTAACGCTGTCTGCAGTTGTCAATGCAGGCAGCTTCTCGATAGGATCGCCGCTTTGATTGGAGCGTACCTGCTCCAGGGAGTTCTCGTCCGACATAATGGGGGCGTTCACTTCTGGACGGGGACTTTGGTGGGTTGAGCTTTGAGTAGCAGCTAGAGGAGAGAAATGTGGCGTACTTTTTACCGGAGCAGATGCAACAGATTCGGGCGAACCACTATTACGGCCAGACATCCCCTCGTAGTCGTCTTTTGATTTATCACGGTGCAGAATCGCAAGCGCCAAGGCACTTCTAGTGCGTTTGTGCCTAAGGGATTTAGGCAACACAAATTAGTCTAAAGGTCTGCCGGCCCCTCCTTGAATAGCGAAGACGATGGAAAATGCTAGGTTCATGTGTGAGATCTTGCCGCCCGGTCAAATGACCTGAACGATTAATGACTACCAGGCTATCTGAAGCCAAGGACTCCAAGTATTCCTGCGGTGACAGACAGCCTCGACATGTGATCCATGAAACCAGTGTCGTTTTCAAGAAGGCGCAGCGGAACTTACCCTTCACCCTTCTCCGTCATCACTTTCTCGCCACGAGCGACACTTCAGATATCCCCAAGTATTGCGGGGAAAAATGCATAGAAAGGGAGAAGATAGCCTAGATAAGACGCGGGGTAGCTAAGGTAGGAAGTCACGAACTATCGCTGGAGTGTTGATTGGTGAGGGCAAAGTTTCATTCCCTGCGGTCGGTCAGCTCGTGGGAGTGTGATGATCGTCGTAAAGGGCCCCAAATTAACAGCAGGTTTGTTCTCCCGCGCCTTGGCGAGGAGACAGTGGAATCTCTTCCAGCCTGAAAACATCAATTACATGGCCACTTCCATAGTAACAGAACGCCAAAGATGACAGCTGCCGGCTCTAAGCTTCAGCTCAAGAAGCCAAATTTAGTATCGGAAAGCAACGAAGGTGAAGAAGCGTTGGTTTGGTGAAAGGGAAAAAGTGGTAAAAAGCTACGGAAGCCATCACATGCATCTGCCTCCGGAGTAAGCTAACAGGCTCATTGTAAGGTAGACGATGCGCAAATTTTGGTTGCATATGTGACTACATCGTACAGAATGGCCCTCGGCGTCTAAATAAATACAATATACAGCATCAAAGGACAAGAACTTCGTCACTTCGTCACTCCGCTCACCAAGACAATGACACTACCAAGCTGTCGCTTCAAATCCTCCTTATCAACATCATGTGTATCCTCAACCTCACCCCACATATCTGTTTGCCACTTTACTTCCAGACTGGACGCTTCGGCTGCTTCTTCAATACCGAATTTTTTTTGATTCGGTCGTTGTACGTGGCGTAAGTTTTCACTCCACTCCGAGACCAGCCTCACAGCCACCAGTAAACTCTTTGAGGCAAGTATACCTCTTTCGAGAGCAGCTAAATCGTGCGCTTGTAGGCCGAGAATCCATTGTTCAATAATATCGTTCGTAGCTTGAGTTTGCGACACCGGCAGGATACTCTCAGAATCCAAGATAGGTCTGATCTCAATACCAGGCCACACCATGGCGCTTAAAAAGGAGATTACATTTTTCGCAACTCTCATCTGGGCCTCTCGAAGACTCTCTGGTCTCCGACCATGCTCGTCAACTTCCTCGGCGCTATAGTCATTCTTCTCTGGCACCCAACAAAGCAATGTATCTGTCTCTAGATAGCGCATTGCAGTCTTCACAATTTGGTCTCTTGTGATCGTCTCGCCATTCGCATCCTCCCGGAAAATGTCCGCGGCTCGCGCAGCGAGAGAAGTTAGTGGGATCATATGATTTTTCAAGGCTTGCTGGGCCGAGGTCATGACATCCCATTCCAGAGCGATCAAATGCGCAAGGTGAGGCTTTGTTGGTGGGATATAGAGGACATCTTTTGTGGGGGTTCGAACAGGCCTGGCGTCTAGCAGAACTTGGTAATCTCCTTCTAGAAGACCACAATGATGCAGTCAGCCATATATTTACACATACAACAGACTAGGAAATATACCTGGTTTCGTCTTAACGTCGACGCTCTTCCAAAACCGCTTGCTGAGAGGTGTAGGCTTTGCCATTCGAGCGTGTAGCTCATTGCCATCTTGCTGTCTCGTAAGTTCATTATACTCTAGAGCGACGGAGGGAGCTTTCGGGGGAGGACCATGGGCTGTGACTGGATGAGCAATAGCGGCCTTCGAGGGGGAAAAGTGGAACGAGCGCGATATAGCAACGTTGTGTCGCGTAGCGATCGAAACTATACGCTGTGAAAGAGCCGCGGGTGCTTGGGGAAAACACGGCATCTTGTTTTCAACACAGCCTTTGTGTACCAAAGAGTTAAAAAAAGAGAGAGAGAGAGAGAGAGAGAGAGAGAACAATAATAAAAAGATTAATAATAATGTAACTTAGTTCGCAATGCTTAGTAAACGGCAAATGTAGGTATACTAGTAGGTGCATGTATGGGTGGAAACAGGATATTACTGGGTGAGGCTTGTACAGGTTACTAGTACCTCAGGCACTAGTTTGAGCGGGTCCTGTGCTGCTCGCCACAGACGCCACACTTGATTTATGTTACTCAAATCTCTAGATCACCCACAGAACTCACGATGATATACCCAGCACAGATTACACAGTTGTGTTCTAGTAGCATCGCCAGCAGGCGCTATATATATATAGAGTATTTTTGTATATGTGTAATGGTAAATACAACTTTAGGTTGGCATCTCCCATTAGCTTATCCCACAAGTCGCGTGGAATGTCGATCGTATTGGGCCACTCTTATAGTCAAAGTCTATCATTATTAGGATTCGTAGCTTCATTGCGTGGGATCAGAAAGAGGCAATAACTAATGGCAAGGTCCGATTCATTAGAGATTACACCGAATGATACTAATAAAATGAACAAGCCAAAGGCTCGCGGAAATTGTTCACTTCAGAAAGCCTCCCAAACTCCAACTCCGCTCTAACGAAGGGGAAAGAAGAAAGCAAAAGAACAAAGTAAGAAGGGGTGTCGGTGTGGCACAAGTGCCAAGCGATCTTGCCCATACGTTAGTAGTTTACAAAGATATCTCCAGTTCGCCGTTTTCCTCTCTTTTTCTCTTCTCTTCGTTTTGTTGGGCATTGAGAGGGTCAATAAGCCTATAAAAGAATAAAATGTCCCTGTCCCACCTTTGTGCCGTGACTCTGATCCCTGGGGACTCCCAAGTGTCTCGAGAGAAAATGGGAGATAGGAATAGGTGGAGAAAGGTATCAAAAAAATAAAAAGGTAAGAGTAAAAGGTATAAAAAGTGACGCCGTGCTGCAGTACCACGTATCGAGATATGATGCAATCAAATAGAGGAAGAGTCAAAGAGAAACCCAGAAATAAGTGGGTAAAAGAAGGCCGGGAACATTGAAGTTCTAAATCGTCGAGGACTCATTTTGCTCAATCTCAAGTTGCATCATCATCATCGAGGCATTTCTTCGTAAGCATGAAGGAAAAGAGAAATTAGATCAAAGATAGAGCAAGATTTTGGAACTGTCGCGACGACCTTGTTAGGACCTTTTGTCGGATGGCTCCATCTAGTTATAGACGGTATGCCTCGTTCGTCAGATGATGCTTGCAAAACACATACAACAGTGATAAGCTGGATGAGATTGTACCTAGGTACAGACGCCCCACCAATCATCCATTTCTGGAATCATTGGGTGATGAACTTCGGGTAATAAGGTGACTTCGGACGGTCATTGTCTGTCCGCTTCTTCATACGCTCAGCGTCGTAATCGTCGGCACCATCTCTGCTACCCCATGTGGTCTGTGATACACGGAAAAATGCTCGTGTTAGCGAATTCTTTACATGATGATCTCGAGTGATTCAATTGGGCACAAGGAATTTGGTATACACTCGCAGAGGGAAAAAGACCAAACAAGGGAGGTGGGGCTAGAGCAAAATCGGAGGAGAGGCAACGGCTGACCATCCTGGTTAAACAGACCGTGACCCAAAATATGCACAAAAACATGAGACCCGTGACCAAACCATAATTAGAGGCGGGGGGTGAAGGAGTTGTATTAGATGATAGGATTCGTGCTTGAGCAGAGAAGTGGCTAGAACCCATTTTCAAGCACAAGGCTCCAAAACGGACCTTGTAGCACTGCCAATTTCGCTGTAGATTCAAGAAACTTAAAAGAGAGGCTAATCTCATTTTGTAACTTACCACATTGAGCGTCATCACTGCGTACATCTTGATACCTCCGTGGAAATATCCAAAGAGGATAGACACAGGTAAAAGTAAAAAGTCGACGGGGTATCGGATGTAATGCCCCAAAAGCTTGATGAATTTGCTGACAAACATCCATACTCCGAGGGCTTGCATTGCGAGTGCTTGCGAATCATCTGCCCAGGAGGCCGTAGCTTTATGACACAGAAGGACGAGTAGCAGGTCGCCTAAGAGGGCCGGAGGTGACAAGGTGGTCAGATGGACAGCGTATGCGCTCCATGGCTGGCGACTGGTATCAAATTGTTAGCGTGAGACTCAGGCGAGGCGCTTGCTCTCTGTAACGTGTTGGTTTGCCAAATTCAGACAATGCACGCATTGGCAAGTTACGTACGACTCATGCAAACGATAAACTGGCCCCTTAAGGGACCCAGCTAGCACAGCCGGTCTGCTTACACTGCCGTGATGCGAGATTGTGGTGAAGTATGCATTTATACTTGATCCGGTTTATTACCAGAACAGCAGAGCCGGGAGATGAGGACGGGGCAAATAATGAGGTACTTACTACCAAATATGTTTTTCATGGAACATACTAGTAAGGTTGCTCCTCCAGTTGCTTCGAGACCATCGCGCGCATTGCTTCAAAAATTTAGGGTTATCTTCCAAGGTAGTCAGGACTTCAGCTTCGGGATGGTACTGCATAAAGGTCTCCCAGCCATGTGACACCATCCAACGTGTAATGAAGTTGTCGTCGTCGGCATTCAATTGATATCTGCCAAACCACCATTCCTCATTTGTGAAAGCATAAGTAAAGCCCTCGTCTTGCAGAATGTCCGTCCTATAAGCCACAGTTCGACCCGACATACAGGGAAGACCTCCATCAACATGCGTTGTTGCCGCGCAATCA